AAATTATATCTGACCGCCTGCTTGGCGGTGCCGCCCGATATATCCGGACCCGGACCCGGCGGTTATCTGATATCCGATGGTTTGCCGATTCGGATCCGGTTTAAGCCATGAGTGTCTCAGTTTGCCTTTTGTGCAGCTGCAGTCACTCAGAGTGTCGTCATTAATGCGACCTCTGACACTCAGGTCTCGATCACTCGCTAGCCAGTGATGTGGGCTTTTTGAGAGATTCCGCAGCACTCTGTGCAGCCTTGGGTCCTCAGGAGTGGACTCCCTCCCGTCCAGGGTACTGTCGGTCAGTCTCGAGTGTCTACTCGAGTGAATCCGCCGCACCCCGTGCCGCCTGGATAAGTCGGGAGTAAACGTGCAACAACTTAAGCGATTCCGCAGTCCTCGAGACTAGCTTGAATCCTCAGGGGCCGGCTTCCTCCCGTCGGATGGGAGTCGTAGGAGACTTTCCGACCGTGGTACTGTCCGTCAGTCTCGAGTGTTTACTCGAGTGATCCCGCAACACAACTTGCCGCTTTGATCACTCAATGGTAGTGCCCTATTTCAAGCTCTCTCGCTCCCGTCACAGTCGGGTGCTTATGAGACGAGCAAAATATATTTATATCCGTCGCCTGCTCAGCAGTGCCGTCCGATATATCTATATCAGTTTACCGGTTTGGTAAATAACTAAAATATACGCTCTTGCTCGCTCTTTTGCTCCCGTCCGCGGGTAGGCATGGAGTATAGCCATGTCCCGGCCATGTCTCGGTCATGTCTCTTTCTGAGTCGATGTCTGCCTTGATCTGATACTAGTTGCCTGGATAGTGTTCGATATTTTTGATGGCCCCTTCTGGTACCCAGACTGATTTACATGTTGCTGATTCTCAGGTTCCTGGAGCTGCCCCTCCTATCTCAGTCTTAATGATTGGGTTACGCTCGCCCACTCGGGGCCAGGTTCTCCACATCGTTGAGTTTGAGGGTCAGGTGGGTGACTCTCAGTCACTAGTCAGCACGGCTCCCAAGCCCCGCGTGGTTTGGCAGCCGACGTACAGACTCTCTTTGAGTCTTCATTACCGGAGGCCTTCACTCTGGCTCTGCAAGGTGCGGCCCAGGCTTCTCATCTCCTTCCGCGGGAATACCTCTCATGGGGGTTTGCCAGTCCGGTGACGGGTACCTTGTGTGTAAGGAGGGTTTCCCTTCTTTGGTGATCTCCTCCCGTTCTAGTCTTAACGGGCGCCGCCCTAGGGTGGGTCAGGTATGTAGAAGTAATCGCACTTAGCTCCACCTTTAGGTCAAGCTTTGTGTCTTAGGGCTTTGTTGCGATCCAACGGCTCCCAATTTTGTTGTTGGGAGTGGCCCCGGTTTCACCCACGTCATGGTTTAATCCAGTCGTGGAACGCAAAGATCCCTGTCAAAACGGAGGCTCCCGTGTCTTGATTGATGAGCTTCTGGCGCAGTGGAGCGGGTCAGTCCCGGTCACACTGAGTTTATTTCGGGGTTTACGAAGCCTAGTATGGACGCTATTCTCGCTTCTTCTCCCGTACCTGCGGGTAAGAAGCGCAAGTGTTCTGACGTCCAGCTGCCGACTGGGTCTAGGTAGTGAAGGCTGGGTTAAGTGTTACGTCAGTTGGTGTGTTCTCTAGCCGCTCAGGCTGAGCTTCGTGGTTTCTTGATGATGTTGGTGTCTGGGGATACCAGCCACCACAAGACCCGAAAGGCATTTTGGGTTTGGGTGGAGGCTCAGCATCTGCCCCTTCCTGTGCCTAAGCTGGTAATGAGCCGGCCCTGATCACACCTGGCTTTGGGTTCGTTCAGATTTCGGGTGTTGTTACTCCGGCATCCGAGACATTTTTTGGTCCGGGTTGCCTGGAGCTGTTGGCCTTCCTCCATGGGCCGTCGGCTGGTTGGTGGGAGTTGGGCCTGTAGTTTCTGCCCTTGCGGTTGTCTGCGGCATCTGCAGCAGGGTTTTCAGTTGAGTTCGCCACTCGACAGAAGGTTGTCGACCACACGTAAGCCTTTCGCACCATGCTCTTGCATCCTCTGATGCGGTGAGGCGTGGTCTAGTGGTGACCATGCTGAGCCTATTTTAGCTCAACCTTCAAGCTTTAGCAAGGCCCTAGAGCAAGCTTCGAACGAAGTTATAGTAGGTTTGTTATGATGTTAATTGAGGCCTTCTAATGTCAGGTCTCTGACTGTGACTTAGACGGAGAGAGCTGTAGTAATTTCTAGACCTCAGCTGACCTGTTCTCCAGCCGTTCGCACTGGGCTTCGCGCAGTGTCGAAGTAGCTTGGTGGGCGACAGGGTTTACCCTGGTCTCATCGGGCTGGTCTGAAGCTCAGTTTCGCTCGTCTGGTGAAGCCGGTACCCATTTTGGTTTGGGGATCGTCTTGCCGAGTTCGGCCTCGGAAAGGCTCTGTTCGGTGGTTGGCATTTCTCCTCGGGCTTTTTGCCCGTTGGTGATGGTTAAAGAGAAAGTTGAGTTCTGGCAAGAGGTGAAAAATAATTTGTGAGCGTTATCATTCTTATTATGCAAGTGTGGAAGAACATCAGATTAGACATGTTCCCTAAAAAGCATGGATCTTCAAATGCCTTTATATTCTAATATGTCATGTAACATCGTAAAAATCCAGGGTAGGATTTTTACACCACGTGTTCGTGTAGTCCCATATACATCTTTCTGTGTACAGTGTTTGTAACTTTACCAAGACTTGGCCAAATTTCTTATCATTTTGATGATTCCAGAACCTTGCAATACACGCAAATTCTTATATGTTAGATGATTAACCTTTTCTGGTCGATTCCACACCGTTTCTTTCACAATGCAATCGCATGACCAAAACTCAACTTCATCTTTAAGCTCTCTTCTCCAGCTTCTTTTGCTAACCCTCGAAGAGAGGAGTGGGTACCTGGATCGGGACTCACCCTTCCCCTCTGTGGGTTTCGGGTTTTTCCTAAATGACGGCTATGGCTCTTCTCGCAGATGAGTTGAGTTGAGTTTATTTTATTTATACACGGTAAAAGCCCGAAACAGTTCGCAGACTGGTTTCAATCAGGGCCGTGTCGATAAAAAACAACATAATCATGACATATAAACAAAAGTAATATAACACTGACAGATTCACAACCATAACACGACAATAATAGGAAATAAGCTAAAAACACTTTACTTAATTAGAACTATATTGGTAGACCCAAAAGATAAACAATTAAATAAGTTACATATATGATCATCATAATCTGTTTGCATATTTATATATATATATAAAGTAAAAACAAAAAAAAGTTTAACAAGATTATAAATAAGTTAAAAACATATTATGTATTCATGTTAAATATTAAATAATCAAACTTTAAAACAATGAACAAAAGAAAACACACATAATGTAGAATGTGTAATAATTGTGAAATTAAGACAAATGCGTATTCCATATTAAGTAGAAGTAAAATGAAGTATGGAATAATAATAAATACTTAAGAGCATTATGAATATGGATCAGTTAAATACTACATAAATAATTGTTTTTGTTTTTAAAGAGACAAAAACAAAAAACAAAAAAGCTTTGCCATCTGTGATAGGTCTCATTGAAGCCTGGTCATTCGGCTGACCAGCCCTTGAGGGCTGTTGTGTCGCCTTTTTCGGGGGATTTATCTCTTGGACTCAGTTCCCCAGCTCATTTGGAGGGTAATCAGTGTCCGTCGCTGATGTTTGGGGCAACGGGCTCCCCGGCGAGTTTCCGTTTCTGGATGGTTTCAGTTCAGTGTTCTGGTTTCTGTCCCTTTTGCTGCGGGCATCTGTTCCCTCTCCCGCTGAGACCGGACCTGTTGTCCCAGTCTATAGGGGATTTTCTGTCATCGCCCCGCGGTGCATACTCTCTATGGCCGCTAGGCCGGTGTCGGGGATACGCTATGACGTCTGGACTCTCTGAGAGAGCCTCGCAGTTTATAATCTAGAGTCGTAGGGATTCCACGAGGACCCTTCACAACTCTCGTTAGGAGCCCGGCTCCATTTGGTGTGAAGTCCTCGGGGTCTCACACGTAGACTATGAAAGGTGTCATAGCTGGATGTTGATTTACTTGTTTGGCAAGGGTAAAGTCCTGCCGCTTTTCGTGGTTATCTTTCGGCCCTCGTCGCCTCTCATGGCTGGTTTCCGGACGGCTCGGGGGTTTTCTCCCGTTTCTTGTTGAAGTTACTGCGTTCTTTTCTGCAGTGGCCGGCTATTCCGAAGCTGGCTCCTGCTTAGAGGTTTCTGAAGGTTTTGGACGTTTTGGCAAAGCCTCTTTTTGTGCCTTTGTCTAAGACCTCACTTGACGCTGAAAACTCTTTTTATTATGACAATAGCTTCTGCACAGCAGAGGAGTACGCTCCATGCGCTGTCTACCTTCTCTGGCCATATCAAGTGGGAGAGTTGGGGAGTTCGGTTGGTCCCACGACCTTCCTCCGGACCGATGGTGGTTTTCCTCAGTCCTCTTTCGGAATTCTCGGTCGCTCAGGACAAGGTCCGGTGCCCCATCAGGGCACTCATGTTGTTCTTAGATAGGACTAAGGTTCATCGAAAGGAGGTCCAGTTGTTCCTCATTTCGCGGGAGGTCCTTTCTTCTGCGTCTCGAGAATCGATCTCCAGATGGATATTGGACGCTATTAGGGCGGCGGGTTATGAGGCCCTGTTCGCAGAGGGCAGGGCCAGTGCCCATAATTCCAGATGTAGTGGTACTTCCTGGGCAGTGTTCCAGGGAATGGGTTTGGATGACATTTTGGAGGCCACGTTTCGGCGGTCTCCCAATTCCCTAACGTCTTTTTATCTTCGGGGACATCACCTGCCTTTGTTCCCCAGTAATCTCCTTCTTGTTCAGGACATGCCTCCCGGTTCACATGTGTGCTGGTCTAGCAAATAATAGGTAGATACATTGATTTATTGTGGTAAATCAGAAAAATCAGAACTGATTTTATTATTTACTATATAAATCTATGTATCTACCTATGTCCCTCCCTCCGTCCCCTCTCCTTGCGGGCAACATGTCCAAAGCTATGTCTTTGGAGGCTCGTGAAAGAGGATGAATGGCGGACGTGCGATGCGCACGTGAAGGCGATGTATGGGGGTGGGGGCATGCGCATGCCCGAGTGTGACGTTTTCAAAGAGTTCTCGAAGGTAGCGTAGTTTAGATAAACTAGCATATAATAGGTAGATACATAGATTTATATAGTAAATAATAAAATCAGTTCTGATTTTTCTGATCTCACCGTAATTTAATGCCTAAAACCCCTGAGCTTCCGGAGGCTCAGCCCCTTGACCTCCTGCCGAGGCTCAGGCCCTGGACCCCGCGCCAATTTACGCTCTACCTGATCGTTAATGCTCCACTTTGAAAAAACGTTCCGCGGGACCTGCATGTAACGTGTTAGAGTGGTGATGCAGATTTTTCTTCTGTCATTCCCCCCCCCCCCCTCTCTCTCTCCACCCCTCTCTTTTCTGTTCCCCTTCTCCCCATTTCCCCATCCCCTCTCTCTCTCTCTCCCTTTCCCCTCTCTCACCTTCTCTCTCCCTGTCTCTCCCTTTCTCTCCCTTTCTCTCCCTTTCTCTCCCCTCTCTCTTTTTATTTGTCTCTCTCGATCACCACTTTCGGAGGTCGCAAAGCGAGTTAACTGAACATTTCTGAGAAAATCCTCTTGGTTTATGAGGTTTTAAGAATGAAGTAATCATTATGTCATTTTTACTTCTCGTTCGTAATTTTTTGCGGAGGGGGGGGGGGGGGTGGGGGTGGGGGGTGTTTTACCTTGACCCTTAAAAAAATTGCTAATGCAGCAATTACTGATACAATGTTATTTCATTTCCGTTTTGCAGGGGGATATTGCGAAGAATGCTGTGAATGTGGAGACGTCATTGGATGCCACTGCGACTCTGCCTGTCAGTCACGTGACGATTGCTGTTATGACTATACTCCACACTGCTCACAAGGTCTGCGTCAAGTACTAAACGCTTTGCATTTGTTTCCCGATATTTGATCCTGGAAACTTCAACAACAAAAAATTCTTCTCTTTTACCTTCTCTTTTTGTTTCCTTTTCTTTTTTCTTCCATCGCTCTCTCTCTCTCTCTCTCTATTTTTCATCTTTTAGTCTGTCATATTATTTTAATATATTGCACATCCTTGACAAAGCCTGGAAGAGTCAATGAAATGTTAACTTGAAATGCTGGACAATTACTGAACTTGTCAAAGGTTTTAACCAGCGTTTGTGTAGTTGTTTGTTCTAGATATTAAAGCATGTTAATTTTATAGATATTAAACAATGTGTCGACCTCATGTATGACATGTAATAATAATACAAATAATGATATTAATGACAATATTAATAGTAATAATAATGATAATAATATTAATGATAATGATAATTTTAAAAGTTAAATAATAATAATAATAGACGAGATGATTGACTTAATTAAAGCTCTGTTGTTATTGTAGAGCAATGCGTTTTCTCAAGCATTGCGTAATTTTTTCCGTGTTTGAGGTTCTAAATAATCAAGTATGGTATATCAAAAATAAAATTACAAATAAAAGTGTTGCTGCCAGAGAGATTTCTGGAGTTCGGAATTTTTATTCTTAGTGATTGATGAGTATTTTCAAAATCAGGTCGCCGTTTGATCGTACAGTGTGCATTTGGTTTTGCATTGATTGACAAATTGAGAAAAAATAATGATAATCAGGGGCGGATCCACGGGGGTCGTTAGGGGGTTTAACCCACCGTTATTTGATCAAAAAGGTTGCAAGCTCGTCATTACCTAAAATACACATGTGAAACAAGTCGAAATTTGGACTCAGTTTGCCAAGCGATTTTAAGATTATAGGTCAAGCACACGAAGGATAAGAAACATGAATTATCATAGATCACTTCTGCTTCGTTCATTATGTCCATTTCATCCAACCCCCCACCGTCATTTTCCATTTAGTAAAAGCAAACATTTAGTCGAGGTAAGCAAAAACATGAATATTCATGACACACCATGGACTATTCGGTTATTAACAGAGGGGTGCAATCGGTCATCACGTCAAAGTCCCCTAATTGCCACCAAGTATTTCATATCATTATATAGTTTAGTATGTTTCTTTTACTCACTCATGACTTATTAAATATCAATGGTGGTTTAAAGATATGTAAAAGAAATTTTAGTTGATATTTATAAACAAAGGAATTTATATTTAGCAAAGCAATCTCACATACAAAATTACTATCAAGTGTCGTCTGCTACGCCGATTGTCGCCTGCTTCGTTTAAGGCACATATTTATCGTTTGGACTGTAAGGTATACCAGGGAGATTTGTATTTTCCTGCGGTACAACGTATAGCAGAAAAATGTTGTATATGCGGATCCTTTTAATGATTACGTAATGGAAGTGGCGAGACGCCACGATTCCGCGAGGCGGTATGGTTTGAATAACTTAGGCAGACGAAAGTTATTGTATTGAGAAGGAAAGGAATGTTCACACCCAATGGCATACACCAGGTACCCTGCAATACAGTGGAACATTCTAAGAAATTGAAATTTATCTACAAAATAGACCTCTTGAATCATCTGAGACGTAATTTACCCTATTCTGATGACTTCAATGAATGTCAAGATAAAAATGGCTGCGTTTCCATCCAAAAATAAAACTAGTTTGCAATTAGAAATAGTCCATTTCTCGATAATTTCACAAAATATATTTGCCGCCGCATTCAATATGACGTCATTGACAGCTGATTGGCTAGTTTGGTAGTGACGTTGAACGAGCTATGTTTGTGCTGCATCAATATGCTCGAGTTATCCTATTCTGAATTCAGACAATCAATCGAAAAACTGATTCCTAGAAAAACAAAGAGAAACATAAACTCACATTTTCCAATTTTTCTGAGACACAATACAAGTTATAAAAATACAATATAAAGTTATAAACGATAAATGTTACGTTTTTTACAACTTAAATTGAATTGTTTTATTATCATGAAAGTTCTCTCATACTTTCAATATTTGATATTTCCATTTAAATGTTTGTATTTGTACAATGAAAAACAAAAGTGATTAACTAAATTGACATAAAAATAAATAAATTTTCTTAGATTTTTTTGTTCAAGGTCACTCATGAAAAGTTTGCTCTAATTTACAAAACCGTAATTTGATGGTTTTCTCTTAATTTTTTCATCCTGATTTTTTTAATATGTAGTTTCAGAATATGACATAATCAGAAAATTATTATATGGGTCGAATTTTCATACTTTTGGCCTTAACTCCCCTTTAATGTTTTTTTTTTTCAGTTCGTCTTTTTCAAAGCACGGATAGAGGATATAACTACGCGTCTGGTAGTGTGGAAGTTTTCGCCAACGGGAGCTGGGGTACCGTTTGTGATGATGGATGGGATCTTAAAGATGGTCATGTCGTCTGCAGAAGCATGGGGTTCCAACGGGCTTCTTATGCCTACTATAATGCCTACTTTGGACAAGGCACAGGCGGTATACATCTTGACAACGTCGACTGCTATGGACGGGAATCAAGCATTTTGAACTGCTCCCACGATGGTCTTGGAGTCCATGATTGCACTCATGCGGATGACGCAGGAGTTTACTGCAGTACTTATTCTGGTACCGAGATCTATTATCAAGCTAAATTTCTATAATATTAATATCGTGGTCATTAAGATATTTAGGTTTCAGAGATACAAGTCTCATTACAGCGCCAACAATTAATGAATCTTGTTAAAAAACTACTTTTAGTACGTTGCCCCTGCTATAAAAACCGCCATCAAACATAAAACAGGTTGGTATTTACTAGTCATCTTTAAAAGAAAATATTATATACAAAGTAAAACCATGGATGTATTAACAAAATGTCAATGTTTTTTCACATTTAAGTGATCTCAAGACTCACTTAAAAGAACTTGGTTATTTTCGTTTCAGCCGGATACTGTCAAGGGTGCTGTGACTGCGGTTTCATAGACAGTGGTACGTGTTTTTGTGACGTTTCCTGCCAGGAATATGATGACTGTTGCAGGGATTACGAGTCATTTTGCTCAGAAGGTATGTATATTAATTCACTCTTATTATATCGACTTATCCATCATTCAGCTGACACCATGTATATAGTCATATCAGTGTTAATATATATTAATTTGTTAACACGATCATACATTCATTGTCAACATTTTTAATCCTCAACCTCCTCACTTATAGTCGTGAGAAAATGGTAATATTGAAACTATATGCGAGATAATTCACAGCGATAATTTACCTTTGTTGTGCCTTTGTGTTAGTGCATCTCCGCAACGGTTCTACCTACATCGAAGGCAGAGTGGAAGTATTCTCTGACGGAGTCTGGGGGACCGTATGCGACGATTTTTGGGATATTAATGATGCTAAGGTCATCTGCAAAAGTATGGGCTTCCCAGGCGTAGAGGGTGCCTTCTCTGGTGCTGCATTTGGAGAAGGGACAGGAAACATTACTCTGGACAACGTCAACTGTACTGGAGAAGAATCAAGAATACTTTCTTGTTCGAACAACGGTCTCGGTGTCCATGATTGCTCACATGCAGATGATGCAGGAGTAAGGTGCTCTCTTACTAATGGTAAACTCCGGTTTATTTTCTCTTGAACTTAGCGTAAGAACATTAATCGGCTTTATCCCATTCATGACGATAATGATAACAAGATGAAGTTCTCTAAGAAATACTTTCTAGCAATTAATTTGTTCTAATACTGTATATACATTTTTAAAGGTGAAAATTGAAGGATAAACGAACGTACCACCAGATGTTATATCGCATTTCCTTCTGTCCCTTTAACAGATAAATTGCTTCCGCTTGACACAAGAAGATTTTATTTACTAATAAAAATATACGTGACTTATATGGATATTATCTGCAATAATGGTTTTCATTGCAGCTGAACTGGATAAGAATTTTGTTTTAAAGGTTCTTTTGAGTTAAAGGCCGACATTAAGATCATATGCCCCCGAAATGCTTTCATTTGACGTGTTCTTAGCGTATACCTTTCACATTTTTGTAATGAACATGGACAGGGATTATGATGTTATTTCAAGTAGCCAATAAAGTGTACTTTGATTAATCACTTAACAAGTAATCCGTATTGATTAGTAAAACAATATATTAATGCACGAAAGCATGAATCATGTTTGTTTTTCCAATTCTGCCTTGAAACCACACCATTCTCGGGGTGAGCCGATAAAGATATTTTAACCATAATGTCATTCTTTCCCCTTCATGTTTACCCATTTTGCCTCAATTTGTTTTTTTTTGTATAAACATAAAACGATGAAACTTTTAATTTTGAGATTATCACCATATTTACACTTTTTTTTTAAATTATTTATTTTGAATTTTCAATTTATATCCATTGAGTCATACTTCACTGGTTTACGTGTTTTGAGAATACTATACTAACCGTGTATATAGAAAAATCACTGAATATTGGACAGACGGAAACAAAATCATAATTATACTATGTGCCGTTTGTGTAACATAACTGTTCTTGGCTTATTTTGTGTTTTGTAGATGAGAATGTGTCGCTCATATATGGAAAAACGGAGTTGTTGACTTCCCCAAACTATCCTGACAATTACTACGATAACACTGTCTACAACTGGTTAATCACGGCTCCATCGGGGTATCATGTTCTTATTCGACTCTTATATATAAGCCTTTCACCATGTCGTGATCTTGTTACGATTGGTACTGGAGATTCACCAACCTCTTCGGATAGTGTTCAGCTGGCCTCCCTGTCAGGCTACGAGGAACCTTCAGACATAAGGTCCATTTGCATTTATTAAAATTCTGTTTTGCTTTGAATTGTTTCGCCGTGAATTAAACCCGGGTCCATGGCTTAGAACGACAATACCATATGTATCACTAAATCACGGAGTGGTTAATCATATCTTGACGTGGGGGGGGGGGGGGGATGGCTTGCCTTTTCATAACTTTTTCCTTTCAAGTGTCTACCAACTTTTGTGACCAAGTTTGCAAAATCGGACTATCTGTTGCGAGGTCACCCAACATTTCGTAGTCACATGTCGGGCCAAAATTTAACAAAAATTGACATTTGTATACATTATTGTTAAAAAATACTAATTTTTCTAAATTGCTCTGTAACACTACGAATTGTGTCTTTCATGCCTTTTTCTTGATCTTGTATGCTTTCTCTAAAAGCCCAGTCAATAAAGGGTTAAGGCCGAAAAATTCATTTAAATAATATCGTGCATTCAATTGATTTCTCTCATTATGTAAAAAAAAAAAAAAAAAAAAAAAAAAAAAAAAAACACCCATCAACATGATGAGAAAGAGGCGAATGCAATTCGTCACATATACAGAAATGGAGGGCCATGACCGCCCATGTCTGTGACGAACCTTGCACGTGGTATTGTATATGTTTTTCATGTTCTTTTCATGTTTGTTCTTACAGATTATACACTCCTACTGGTTGGATTCAATTTACCAGTGATGAGTCTGGCATTAGTGGCGGATTTCAGCTACAACTAAGTAGCGTGGATTCAACAGAAGGTGAGTACAAGAATTACTTTCTTGTTAAGATAGGTTCGCAATCTCCCAACACGTTACCTTATAGTCTAGGACAGAAACACATTTGCTTTATATTTTGCGTGATGAAAGCGTTTTGGCTGCTTTGTTGAATACTGGTTACACAATTTAAAGATTTATCAAATGTACATGTTTCAAATATTGCACTCACATTGTGACAAAGAACATTATTAACATAGGCGTGGTCATACGGGCGGAGCAGGATGATCGTTTTTTATTGAAAATGAACACCTAATCGCCGTCGTATTTACTATATATTAAACCCGCGTCTATAATATGGGCTAACTTTTCGTATAGCTCTGATTTACCCTTACGATATTCCATACTAAAACATACAAGGGGGGATCTCGTAAAAGCACTATATTGACTATTCTTAATGTGAGGTAAGAGGCAGAGTCATAACAAATAACCGCTTTATGGCGAGTTATGAGTGAGAACGCGGTACGTGAAAAAAATCATGCCATTTTAGGCTTCCAGCAGTTCAGGATGTGGCAGTTTACACTGAGCAATAATAGCAATGTTGCATAGACTTTATCCTTGGAAAATTGACAACGTTCTCATATATTTTGGTGTGAAATCGAGCAGTTCAACAATTTTAAACAAATTATGTTTCTAATGTCTTCAAAATTGTGTTTACTTCTTGTTAGCCCCAGCTCGTCTGGTAAACGGTAGCTACCCTAACGAGGGACGAGTTGAGGTGTACAGCAACAGCCTCGATACATGGGGCACTATCTGTGATTATGGTTGGGACACTATGGATGCTACAGTCATTTGCAGGAGCCTGGGCTACCCTGATGCAGTCAGCAGCTACGGAAGTGCATTGTTTGGAATGGGTTCTGGTCCGATTCTACTGAACGATGTCGACTGCGAAGGCGATGAAGACAACATATTTTATTGTCCATATGAGAGCGGCGATATCGACTATTGTACACACTACGAAGATGCAGGCGCCATGTGTTATCCTAACGGTGAATATTTATGTATGTAATTTAATAACGGAACAAATTAAAGCTCAGATATTATTTCATCGAAAACCCCGGTCATTTTAACTTATTTTGCATTTGTTACATCAGTAAAATGTTCCCCATCAGATGTACATTATTTATTCCTATTTGATTTTAATTTTTCTTTTATTCAAGTAGTAAATACATTTCAGAAATTCAGCGATTTAGATTTATCATGTAATCCCTGTTATGATAGAAGGGTGAGATTTGGGAGACAAAACATTTGTGTATTCAATCCTAGTTGCGTTTACTTATGCTGATGATAAAGGTCTACAAAAGATAGATAACATCTTTTTATGAAAAGACGTGCTCATTTATTTGCCTAATTCCTACTTTACCCTAGTCCGCCTCGTGAATGGCAGTAGTTCGAGCGAAGGTCGAGTTGAAGTCTACCATGACGGCATCTGGGGAACTGTTTGTGATAACTACTGGGGTAGTCCTGAGTCCCGTGTTCTCTGTCGTAGTCTTGGCTTTCCCGACGCACTTGAATCTTTACCCAACGCTTATTTTGGCGAGGGTACTGTCGACTTACTCTTAATGGTTTCATACTGCAATGGCGATGAAAACAGCATATTTGACTGCTGTCATTATGGCATTGGGTACAACTACTGTGGTCATGATGATGATGTTGGTGTCAGATGTCAACCAAATGGTATTAGCATTTTTTGTTTCATTTGTCATATGTAATTGCATATGTTGGTATAACGTGTCCTATTTAGCTTTAAGACGGACACCTGCTCCGATATTCGCTCCGCTGTTAATTACTTAATTACAATCGTATTCTGAACTTAACCCCTTACCTAACATTACACGTAACTGTATGGATATGTACGTGTTAGTTGGTGGATGTGGGTTGGTAATTAGTGTGGGCGTGTGCGGTGTGTGTGAGCCTATACGGTGGAGATTTTAATGTCAGTTATTCCTGAACAAAAATATTAAGTTGCCCCTATTAATGGGAGAAACCATTCTCGTTTTGTCACGTGGGCATGCAGCTGGAAAAGGTAGGCCTACTTCGAAATCTTCTTTATTGTACCTCGCTGTATAAGATCCGTCTTTATGTTTGTCTTTGATCTATTGTCAAAAGATGCTCGTTATTTTGGTGCTTCTTTGTCCCCAGTTGGTTTCTTGATTTTTCTCGGTTTAACAATTTTTTTGAATCCATGCATGTTACTTTGGAAATGAAATAATAAAACCAAAATAAATTGGAGGTATTTTCAAATGAGACATAACAGCTTTTACTGAATGAAATATTTTTAAGGTGGAACGGCAAACACTTACTAAATGAAAACTTTGAAAAATTGAACCGGAATTTACAATATCCATAAACGAATGTCCTAATATAAAGGCATCATAACAATAGCAATGGAGACAAGGGACAAGCACGTTATAATAAAGATCATTCTAATTTGAATGCAGAGTTTAGCCTACCTGTTTTCTGGTTGTTTCTATAGTTCGGCTGGCCGGTGGCGGGAGCTCAAATGAAGGTCGAGTAGAAGTATACCACGGTGACACATGGGGAACTGTCTGTGATAACGGATGGGGTATGGACGAGGCTCGCGTTATCTGCAAAAGTTTAGGCTATCCTGACGTGCTTCAGGCTTACGGGAACGCTTCCTTCGGACAGGGCACAGGTGACATTCTGCTTGATGAAGTCGACTGCATTGGTAACGAGTCCAGCATATTCTACTGTTACCATGGCGGCGTAGGACTCACCTTCTGTTCACATCAGGATGACGCTGGAGTTCGATGTTCAACTGGTGGTAGGCAAAACACACTATTAGTCTGTGATGATATACTTCTGACTGTTTATTCATGAATCAGTTCAATAGTATTAACTATATCACAAACTAACCTATTCTGATGAGTTGTGATGATTCACTTTTCAACGTATTTATTTTTCAATTTTAAAACAGTCAATGCTATCGTGATTAAATGTAAACTGTTGCATAATGAGACTGTATCATCTTATTAGGAAGACAGTAACCCAATGTCGAATGAGGTGCATGATGTACGTCATTTTCCCTCATTCATCGACTTTGTTTCAGTTGGCATGCTCTTTTACTTCCTCTCGTTAACTCTCCCCTCTCTCTTTCTCCACCTCCCTCTTTCCTCTCTTCTTTTAGTGACAACACCTTCTTATTTGACAGAATTTGACACCTCCACATTCACACACACCTCAGGTGAGTGAAAGTGACTGTGTGACACATACATGTTGAAGATTATATGAATGACATGAATTCAACTGCAAAAAAAAAATCTTCGAATACTTTATTATTGCATCCCCCCCCCAAAAAAAAGGTGTCTTTAAAGAGTTAAGATAATAATTCTTATTTTGAAATTTTTGCTATGAATCGTTAAACAAAACTTGTGATAATATTTACATAGACCATACGAATTTTCTGCTGACCTTATTTTGCCTTAATTGTTGTTCGGGCTGTTCAATTGTCATTGTTTTGTAATCTTTAGTTTGTATAGGCCCTCTCAGAAGGATAGATTAAATATTGAGACTCTGAGAGAGTTACCCTTCAAACATGTTAATATTATGAGTCACTGTAGAGAGACAAGGGATCAAATTTGGGATTGTCGGGTCAAAGGTCAAAGGTCATAATGATGAACTAACATGTAAGCGTAGGCTTCTCATCGTGATATTTAAAGGTAATACAAAGTTTTGGAAAATTTTGAAAATTGGGTGGATAGTGATTCTTACTATTTTTGTATATTTGGATGCCCCTGTGGATGTATGATAAGCACTAGAAAATTTAGCTCCTAAAAACACTTGAATTGAAAACTTGAATATACAAATTTACCCGTGCTCCCGGTAAATTTTGATAAATTTCAAATAGCGGCTACGGCCGTACAATGGTAGCTCAACTATGAAAATCTCAGAATATGTAGTTGTGATATATAATTTTCAAATGGGAATAGCTAATCGGTCGAATTTAGTCCCAAAAAAAAAAAAAATTTTATAGCTTAATTTATATCTTGACCTTGAGAGGGAGCTATAGTACATAAAGAGTTAATTATTCACAATTTTATAACTTTAGATTCGATTTCAACCGCGACAACGATCACTGAATATTGTAGGATCGCATATGCTTCCAATTTGTTCATTTGAACCAAATACCAAAACTTTATATTACCTTTAAAGAACATTTTGAGCCTTGATCTTAACTGAATTAATGCGGAGGCATTGTGGAGATATTACGATATATTTGCATAAAAAATGAGTATTTGATTTGTGTTCATAATAACAGAGAGTCAAGTGCGACTCAAGAGGAATACACAACTCCTAAAGGTAGAATTTAATTTCACTTTCTTTATTTGCTGATTGACATGACGTATATACTAGAGAGAATATAAAAAAAAAACACCGGATTGATGCAATATGATGTTCAGCCCTAAACGATGATTGAATTCAGTACCTTCTCATATAGCTGATGAACAAAAGATTCTCTAAATCCACAACCTTTTTTCAGATAAGGCATATTTAAAACTAAGATGCACGACTCTGGATCAAATTCCTTCCCCCAGCACTAGCGTCTAGGCATGAACCTGTTTTTTTCATAGATGAATTCCTAAAAATCATGATTTTATTTCAGATATCCCGCAGTTAGAGAAAAATTATTACAAAATATGTCACGTAATAGGTATTCAAAATTTTAAATGGTAAGGGGTTGCCTGCATGGGCAATATGCTGTTTGCTTTTCTATGATATCTTGGAAAGGTTACATCTTTAAATCTAGATTTAATTTTCAGATCGACAACTTTTTATACATACAGGCAATTTGTTTTGTTTCTTTTTGTGTTTTTTCCTTGGATTTTGGCTGTGCCAGTGAGGATATTATCATGTTTGATATCTTTATATGTGCAGCCACGCGTCTCTATAAATTGATTTCCACTTTCTTTAACAGAATTCAAAGACAATAAATATCTGCACTTTCTTCCCTTTTTTGTTCTTCTTTTTTTGTTAACAGAATGGTCGCCTGGGACAACCATTCCACCTCCAAAAGGTATACAAATACGAATAACCAGTTGTGTTAATTTTTCGTTGTATTAATAAAATATTTAGGCCGTTAATCTAGTTAATATTCGCGTATCTGATAATCACACCAGTTTATTCAAGATGTCTCGATAAAATATGTTTAAAAAGTTTAGCTTTTCTTTAAAACATGGAAATGCTTTCATGGAAAAAAGTTCTAATAGGCGTATAATGATTATCTTTTTAATTTTTAAACATTTGAAGTTTTGCACTTTCATATCATCTCGTGCACAATTATAGTTTACAAACTAGACATGTAATCGCGTCATAACGATATGCGTTCAATGACGCACGAGATACTACGTTTCAAACGAAAGAGCTTCTCTCGGACTACCCAGAGTAATTTGTAAGAAGTCTGTAGCTATGTAATAGTGGAGATAGGTAGGGCGAAATGAGAAAGGCCACCAAAACGGCCCGGAACGGACGAAATGGCGCCTGGACGGTCACGCATGAGGGATTCCAGAAAACTAAGAATTTAATGACCTTGAAGGAATGTTAGAGACTATGCCTACGAAGTTTGAAGAGAATTGGCATAGAGGAAGGGACCTAGAAAGGGCTCACAAGCACTACGTGCAAAACCAATGGGATTTGGTGCATGATGAACATGTGATGACGCGTGCTGTGGCACAAACGGCCGCCCATACTAACACAATCATGCAGAGTATAAAATGGCGTCTAAAATGTCCCCCTTGACAAATTTAAAAAATCCGGTTTCGAGAGGCCCTGCCTTTAAAAACCCAGAATACGCTTGCAAAATTTCAAGGAAATAGAAGGAGGTTAGGGGGGCGAAAAGCAGTGTGAAAAATGACGTCATAGCCGATAAGTGTTATAACTTGGCGGAAACTCAGCAAAATTTGTATAGTGACCCTTGTTCAAATGCAATTTACTCAAGTAATTCTGTAATAACATATGACATATTTGGTATCATTGGAAAGAAAACTTCATTGTGGTCAGTTAGACACCATCCTCACCTACCTACCTACCCCCCCCCCCCCCCCGCTGGATCCGCCACTGACAGAGCCTTTCTTCGTAATAATCCTGTATGCATGTGCGTTAGCTTTTCTGGTTTGGTTGGCCCATAGACCAGGATTATCCCATTCGCATTAACAAAGGAACCACTGGTTCCCGAAGGAAATGGGTGTAATTTCCCATATTCACGAAGATTATTATAGAAAGTAATAACTAGATAATAATATGAATGTATCACATTTTTTTTTGCTTCGATTTACTCTTTATCTTACTTTTCTTTTCAATCCTTTTGTAGCCTCACTGGAATGCGATTTTGAGGTTGACGAGTGTGGATGGGAGCAGGACACTTCAGACGATTTTGATTGGACCCGGCATAATGGCTCAACACCCTCATTCTCGACTGGGCCTGATGTAGATCACACTTTGGGAACTGCGTGTAAGTTTGTCAAAATGGTGAAGATTCACACGTATTGCACCTTATAAAGACTAAAAAGAACCCCAATTCGCTAAGATTATATTTTGCCACTGGTTTTTAAAGTAGATGTCTTTAGTCTGTGTTTTTGCATGCTGAACACCTCCTTGTATATAAGGCTCGAAACAGCAAACGCATTAGTACTTATTAACATGCAATTCACATGGAATTATCCTCCTATGTCAAGCGCTCTTCTCAGTTTTTACAGTAACTTAAATTTATATATATAACGGGCGTTCCCAACACAAGGATTTCTTTCCAGGTTTCCCCTCCTTCTGATTTTAGATCTTATTTTGTGACCGTACTGTCATAATTGTGTTTTTTCATTGACAAATTAATAAATCGTCGCTGTTTTCACGAAGTGACGGTGGTGAAAAAAAATTGTATTCACTTTGCGTTACGATTTTCCTCACTACCGTCACTTCGTGAAAATAGGGACAACATGTGAACTTCAGTCAATCAGCCAATAAGTTAAATCAAAGCTTTTCAAAATGTATCATATTATTCTCAGAACGCCATATTCCAAATTGATTAATTCACACATGGCTAATGTGTCGTGTGTCATGAAGACTGGAGTCTCATGACACAAACCTTAGACCTCTACCAACGTTTAAAGCAAAGACAAAGCAATTACTTTCAAGCTCGAAAGACTCATTTTACAGAAACCTTTTGTTTATATACAGTGGGCCACTACATGTATACCGAGGGATCATGGCCACAAAGTCCCGGTGATTACGCCATCATGCGATCACCCGACATCGTCGACCTCGCCAACACGGACATCAACGTCTGTTTCACTTTCTGGTATCACATGTTTGGGCTTGACATTGGAATCCTCAGCTTGTATTTCACGACGTCGGCGACGAGCATGAATCAGAACGATCTCGTGTGGGCGAAGAGCGGCGAGCAGGGGAACCGTTGGATCGAAGCAAACATACCGGTGACGGATTTCATCTCGACTTCGAAGGCCGGGTATTTCGCCTTCGAAGGCAGGACTTCCAGTTATACCGCTGACATGGCTATAGATGACATCACATTAGGATCGTGTTCTGGTATGAATTCACTTTTAATTCACTTTCATGATTTCCATTTCAAAAATAAAAATCATGGCATAAGAAGAAAGGGAACTAGACAAACGAAGGAACTTCTCTCGGACTATCCAGAGCGATTTGTAAGAATTATGTAGTTTCTGTGATAGTTGAGATAGGTAGGGCGAAAGAAAGGCCACCAAAACGACCCGAAACGGACAAAATGGCGCCTGGACGGTTACGCATGAGGGATTCCAAAGAACGGAGAATACAGTGACCTTGAAGGGATGCTAGAGACTATGGTTATGAAATTTGAAAGTAAACGGACATGAGAAAAGGGTATAACTAGTGATAACAAGCACTTCGTGCAAAACGAATGCGATTTCCTCGGCTGACGAAAATACGGAGATTGCAATTATACCAGCTCCTTAAAAGTTAATACATGACTTACAATGCTTAATGGAAGCAAAATTTCTGAGAAATGAATTAGCAGAAATAAGGTAAGATTTAAGACGATAAATTCCAGACCAAGAAAGCATACATGGTAAAATTGGCCATGCGTGTGTCATGTCATTTATTGCAATATTTCTGCACGCTAAACACTAGGGGTGTCTCACATCAGAGGCAAATGCTTACGAACGTTGCGAATTTTGGATTCACCAACTTTTAGCGATGTTTAGCGACAATGAGCATCTCATTTGAGCGAATGTTTGCGAAAGTGTTTGCAAAAGTCAGTTGGCGACAATAAGCGAATGTAAGCAAATGTTAGCAACTATTTGCCCATTCTTTGCCACTACTTGTGAATGTTTGGGACCTTTTGCTAACTCCTGGTACTCAATGGATCGGTTTTTATATAGGAACCATATGTTAACGTACTCGCTAGCATTAGCGATTCAAAAGAACTTTAGCGACACCGTCTGACAACTGTTTGCTAAGGATTACGACTGTTCGGCAAACTCTTGCCGCTGTTTGCGGGAAAATAAATTCGCAAAGAAATTTTGAACATTTTTTGCGACGGAAAAAACTGTTTGCGAACTTTCTTGCAACCTTTTACAAATCCTGGCGAATCCCCAAATACGCTACATTCGCAAGCATTCGCCGCTCATTGAGATATCCCCTTTAAAGATATTCCATTATAATTGCAAAAGAAATGCAGTAGGAGGAAGAAATTCCTGTAGAAAACCAAAATTTTCTCTCGGTTGAAAAAAAAAAAAATAAGTACCAAAATGCCCTAAAACAATTAAAACTGGCTAGGGCATGAATTTAATATGATAAATACCACATTATTTAAATTTTATCTAACAGGTGAGAATGTGACCCTCGTTATTGGTGAAACACAAAACATCACATCTCCAAACTACCCTTCAAACTACACTAACGACGCATACTACAATTGGTACATCACTGCTCCACCGGGCTACTATGTTCTCATCCACTTTCTGGATTTTAACACTGAAAGTTGCTGTGACTATCTACAAATTGGTACTGGAGATTCACCCACGTCTTATAATAGCGTTCAACTCGCTTCTCTGTCAGGGTCTTCACTACCTTCAGATATAAGGTTTGTAAAATATACCGTCAAATTCTTTCTGTATGTGTGTTATTTGCTAACATAGACCTATCTAGCTATCCACAAGTATCCACATTTCCAGGAAATGTTCGAAATACTTATTTCGGGAGACTTTGTTCAACTGTAGCCTTGTTTGAGGGACACACACTGCCACTCCAGCAAAGCAAGGGGGTCAATGCAAATACGTATTAACCTTTAGCGCTGCACTACGTGTTAATAGGCAGCATTTGCACACATGAATAGTCAATACACTTATAATACACAAATGCACACATGAATAGTCAATACACTTATAATACACAAATGCAAGTTTGACAGTAGACTTACAATTTGAATTTTTGAATTATTCTTTCTAACGTCGGTAAGTTGAACAAATTGTGTTTTACTGCTATTTAGGTGTCATCAATTGTCACTAAAGTACCGATTTTTTAGTAAAATCAGTTGATTTGTGTACAGTGGTGTTTGAAATGTGCAGAATCAATCATGCATCATGCAGTGTGGGACACACTGCATGATGTTGAAATGAAATTGTTTATGCAAAACATGGGTACATTTAACAAAAAAAGATTAAAGTACTTCCTTGTTTTTTTTTCTTCTAAATCACACGACTGGAAAGGTAAAAATTGACCAACACTTTTCCTTTTTTTTAACTTTTTTTTTTAATTCAAGTTTTTTTTCTCTTAAATTGTACAGTGGGAGTATGGTATGCATACTGTTGGCTAGATAACATGTGATCTGGCGATTGTGAGCATCCACTCATGCAAATCAGCGGTCTCTGCTAGGGTTGTGGCTTCTGTAATGCTCCCCTGATTGAAAGTGCTATGTTAAGGCCCGGTCACATATAGGGGACGCATGTGGAACGCACGGCCCGCGCATTGAACTTGTCCTTTTTTTTCTTGATATTTTGCAGTGATATTTCGAGTTGCAATACGCAGTGCACCTCGAAGCCGGATTTTTGAAAATCGGCAAGGGCGCCAATTAAGACGCCATTTATACTCTGCATGATTGCGTTAGTATGGGCGACAGTTTGTGCCACAGCACGCGTCACCACATATTCATTATGCACCAAATCCTATTGATTTTGCACGCAGTGCTTGCGAGCCCTTTCTAGGTCCCTTCCTCTATTCCAATTTCCTACATACTTCGTAGGAATAGTCTCTACTATCCCTTCAAGGCCACCGTATTCTTCGTTCTCCGGAATCCCTCATGCGTAACCGTCAAGACGCCATTTTGTCCGTTTCGGGCACTTTTGGTGGCCATTCTTTCGCCCTACCTATCTCCACTATCACAGAAGCTACATACTTCTTACAAATTACTCTGGATAGTCCGAGAGAAACCCTTTCGTTTGAAACATACAATCACGTGCGTCCTTGCACGCACATCGTTGTGACACGATTGCATGTCTCGTTTTATTGTGTATTCATCAAACTTAAGTATGCAACTTTTCCTCTACAAAAGATCAACAAATTCTATATATCTTCACTCTTGCATAGTTTTCCTTTTAATAGTTCTATAATCGTAGACGTCTGCCTCGTTTTGACCAGGGAGACGCGATGGCTTAGTGTTTTTAAAAGAGCAGTGACCTCGGGTTCGAAACCAAGTCAATGTGCCAGTGCCCTTTGGTAAATTAAGTTAGTAATCCTCATTACCAAGTTTCTCGGAGAGGACTTAAAGCCGTCGGTCCCCTGGTCGCTTACATACAGGCTTACATGTGATTTCGCAAACGTCAGGCCCAAAACAATCAAACCTACCAGAGGACGCACTCTTGTTAGTGAGTGATATTACCGTGTATCGGAATGGTGATGTCATATTGTATGTTGATCTTTGTAGATTGATGACACCCACCAGCTGGATGAAGTTCACCAGTAATTCGAATATAACCGAAAAGGGATTTCAGCTGGAAATGAGCGTTTACGAAGCAATAGAAGGTACATGTGAAAGACTTTCAAACATATCTAGTCCGCTTTGCTTTCAGGATATCCAGCTACAGGTACATTGATATTCTGGCCAGGGAGTTAAATGAATGGAGATCCCGTCCCAGAGGCCCTTTAAAATTCATCCGTGGCACCGCGCGTCTTTTGTTTACCCTACCGTAATCCCCTAATCCCCCTCCGCGACCGCACAGCTCCCTGGTAGCACTAAGTGCTCCCTTTACACCCACAGCCTAGACCAGTGAGCACAGCGGCTTATGCGTTGCTGACTTGTACTCGGAGTGAAAAATTGTGATGAAGTGACAACTTCTAACCCTCATCGGACAAATGTGCAAACATATATAGTGACACAATTTTATTTAGTTCTTTGGGGAGATAAACCTTTGGACTACGCTCCTAGATATGTACGAATTTCGGACATTTTCGTAATATGTCAATAATTAGATGTAAGAATCATGATGATGAGAACCTTGATTTCCTTGGTCGATTTCGCTGGTTCAAATGGCTATGTCTTCAGTAGAGTTATCCGAGCACGAACAAAGAATTTGATAGAAATTTGCATTGGTCATAATGTTGTGTATCCTGTATTTTATATATCATAGCTATATACAACTTCACTGAACATGACGTCATTTTTGTGGTGCCACGCATGAGTTCTAAGCTCAATGCCTCCATAATTTTACGACCGAGTGAAAAGAGAACTTAGGGAAGCAGACGACGTTTCGCAACGTTTCGTAATATTTAAAATGCCAGAGGGGATCTGTGGTCTGATAAAGGCAGCTGTTGATGGATTTGATGGCTGGAGAGGGTTTATTTCGTATTGTTAAGCCGAATTAATCCTGCATATCTTTCCTCGGGGAATTCTCTCGAGACGGTATCTCCATCCATTCAAACTCCCTGATCTAGTGGATCAATATTCCGGACTGTGAACCACAAGGCAAGGGCACTAACGTCCTTCGACAAACCATACTCTATCCAGGCGTTATCTAGTGAATGGGTACGTAGTAGGATTTATTCCTTGAATGCACCGAATTCTAAGGTTGCCGGAGCCAAAGCCGGGATGTTAATATCTGAAGTCCTTTCGAAGCACATGGGGATGTTATATCATAATTTGATTTGCGCTCAACAAGAACAGCACATTAGGCCTAGAACTTGCCATTTTAATCAAAGACCCAGACCTTAAACTAAAACTCCAAATAAAAGACAGATTTGCCACTTGTTTAGGCATTTTTTAGAACTAAGGTTCCGCTGCACTAAGTTATGAAAATTTCAACTTGTTTCAACACTTGAATTAACTATGTATTAGGAAAATTGTTTAATTGCGCATAAAGCTGTCTCAGACGGCTAAAAATGGCAAACAAGACCATCATTGTTATTGGCTGCAGTCCATGTTGCCTTAAAATACAAGATGCGACTTGGAAACAACATTGTTCCAAACAAGTTTTGGCTTACATCTGATTTTAATTTGATCCCCCCTTTGTTGTTGTTTTTTGAAAAAAAATATAGATGAGACCACGGCATGGACTTCCATCACATCTTTATTTTATACTGGTAAATATACTTAATAATAATAGTGTCTGAATTAAATTATCATGTGAACCCTAATTGTAATATAACCGTAGTAACTGTAATCTTTTAAACCTCCAATCTTCGACGTTGTGTACTTATTTTCGTAGTTGTTTTTGTTTTCTTTGTTTGGGACTTTGTTCATTTGATTTATCAGTGAGCTAGAAATAACAAAGTTCTGTTTGTTTAATGTAATGCTTGCATTTCTATAAATGTATCAAACGAATTCGTTTTCACTGGCTGCCTGCCTTAGCAACAAACACCACACTCCGTTTCGTTGAGGATCAGCCATGCATGAAGTTTTTTGTCCTTCTTTGTTTTTAGGGTAGACAGCCAGTGATATCACAAGTTAGGACTGATTACGAAAAAGAAGTCAGTAAAGTAAACATGTTCAGATTAGTTCCAAATTTACATCTTAATGTTTCAGTAAAATAAATTATTAATTGTCTTCCCCATGTTGCAGTAACGTCTGATCCCGAAACAACTCGCGACTTTGAAGGTAATTTCTGATATGATTTTACTCTTTGTTATCAGCAGTGTACAATATTTGTTATCAAGTTCACATATCATCATAGGCATTATCGCAACTCACAAACGTAAATACCCCCTCACACTTTCTTTTATACTTTGAATACCTGTGACCTCACGGTAATTGATAACTTTCGTTTCTACAATTACTTCATGATATTAATTGGAAATTGCAATGCTGGCCTAATTGTATTTTTTTACTCAACAAATATTCAAAATTAGAAGACGAGTTTGACACTTGTTTGGACATTATATTAAGAAAAGATCTACTGGTATAAATCCTACAGCCAATTTCAACACTTTTCTGGAAGCGTACGAATATTGTTCAAGTATGCATAAAGCTGTCTTACTGAGACAGCTGGATCTGAGATCGCTTGAAACAGTCTTCGAAACCACAAGTCTCTTAAGCTGTAGCTAAATTAATTGTTGATTTAGATCATCATTATGCACCCAGGAAACAAACCTTCTCCAAGACAAGTTTTGACTTACGTATGATCTTCATAAACCTTCTGTTTTATCTTATTGTTGTTTTATTGTCAAAATATAGATGAGACTACGGCATCGACCACCACAAATATTCCTACCACTTCAGGTAAAAATACTCATTATTATCAAGCAGACCAAATTGTCAACATGACTATAACTTCGCGAACGTTGGAAGTGGTACATTTCATAGATAATTAGTTGTAGTTGTTGTCTTGTGGTGTTTTATTCTTTCTGAAATTAGATGAAAGAATTCGGATTTAAATCATCAAAGCCACTGACTAAGCTTGGTATGCAACGGCCACTTTTTATTTGGAAGAAATTGCGACTTCTTTAGACGTTACAATTTGATTAATTCAAGTGTTTTGTCCACAGAAGTCGGATAAATAGTGAAAATAAATAAATCAAGAAACATTTAGTCATTTATCGTGTGCTCTATTTGCTTCGCCTGCGTTTATAGACATAGTCGGATTCTTGCCAAGTCCTTTACCGGAGATAGATCTTGATTGAGAGGCTAGAATTATTCGGTGACGTAAAGTTGCTCTTTTTCAAGAAAGTTTATCAAACCATGATTATTATTGTTTCTTATTCTTTATTTGTTCTATGTCCAATTTGTCGATGCCGAAATACTTTCCCACTACTATCAATATTCTAAGCACTTAAACTTCTTTGAAATGATAAATACATCCAAACTTATTCAATTTGTTATAGTTTCCACGTATCTATCGCACAATTTTTGTCCTCATATATATACTTCGGCCTGTATTCATGTACCATGTGAACGAACTTTCCCTAATAAACAAAAATATATAAGGGATCTGTACTATTTAAGTCCACAGTCTCTGGAAAGACAGAATTGTTCTTTAGACCACCTTCTCACTGGGAACAAGATATACTCATAGGATCTGAAAGCAGGCCAGAGTTTTAGAGTCCGTTTTGATATTGTAACATCTTAAAAGTGAGATGCTAAATACATGTAAAACTAAATACTGGTCTACGCTATCAACGACTTAGCTTAATTATACAAATACAAATACTGATTGTTTCTTTGTGTTTTGTGGATGTTTTTTCTTTCTGCGACAGAGTCATCAATTCCCTTGCCCATCATCGGCGCAGTTACATTAGTTTCTCTGCTTGTAGTTGCCATCGTCATTGTCATTTGTGTATGTCTGGTGTGCAGAAAAAAGAGGCGAATGCACATGTGAGTCATCCAAAGATGAATTAATACCTTCTTTATATTTCACATAAATATGTACACCTTATTGTCAAACAACAAATTCGTTACAAATGTTTTGAAAAGGTGAAGTATATGATTATCAACGTGAGACCAACAAAATTTGCTACATATTTCTGAATTTTAGAACACTTGAGAAAAGAGACTTTTCTTCCTTTATAATAATAAATCTCTTATCGATTCATCCACTATGATGAACAGGGAAGAAGGTCTACTTGACGATGATGTTTTCCAACCAGACTACATTGAACTTTCACCAACACCTAAGACAAAGAAAAAGAACGTCATCCACAAGAATAGAGTCTCCAGGTAAATTCAATCACACCTTGTAAAGTCTCCAGTAACAACATCAGCTATCCCTTAGTAATGTATTAATATTGTGTTTTAATATTGCAAATTGAAAAAGTTTGAGAAATAAACATATATACTCTGAAATTAATCTTCTAATTTCTATTCACCATGTTTGATCAAAAGTTTACAATGGACGATTACATGTTCTTGTGTTTTAAATAGATTAGTAAACTCATTTTTGGAATATACATCTGTCATATTGTGTCTTAAAATCCTGCTTTAAACCCAGACATACTGCTTTATTCATCAAATATGATTATGCTGGGGTCAGAATTTGAAGATCCTTCAACCACTTTCTCCATCTCTCTTAACCTAACTCTCTTTTTCTACCTCCGTTTCTAATGTTGTATTTACTTAATTGCCTTTAAAACTTCGTAAGACCTAACAAAGTTTAGAAAATTATATACATTTATTCAAATAGAATGTAATCTCTTATCGACCCCACTTGATTAAAATTTCAATATATGATTACAATATTTGAACAAATATAATCATGATAATCTTCGTTTTTCTCACAAGGCCCGTTCTCTTAGCAAATATCGAGACCCATTACGACTGGTTGAAAGCAGATTCTGAACACAGATTGATGGAGGAATATGATGTAAGTACACACTTGTTTTAAGTCTTAATTTCGTTTTGAATAAATCATCTAAACCACAGAAGTATTATCTTTTGGATTACTAATCGGACTATTACTTCTGCCACCATTCCTCTTTAATTCAATAGGATATTCAGGCGGTGGGCAGCATTGTGCGAATGGACCAGGCAACCAATGCAGAGGTGAACAAGACAAAGAATAGATTCAACAAAATACTACCGTGTAAGTATCAATGTATGTATTACTTACTATTAATTATTAATCATAGTAATACGAATGATGGTCGGATTTATCAAATCTCTTGTCTTTAAAATAACACTTCTTTTTACTGTCAAAGAAATTCATCCATTTTGATCAACTTACGGTACCGCACACTATTATACGACCTGACAACCATCCCATTTCGAAAGAATTTGCAATAGCATTAGATAATGAATATTAAAACATGTAAACCGTAATGATCGCGAGGATCTGAGCATTCATATGATTTATACAATGTAAACGTGAATGGATTTCAGGCTCTTTGAAAGAGTAAAAGCTAAATCGGCCCAGAATGCAGTGACATCAGACTAGTAAATAAATCCGAGTGTGTATGATCTGAAGCCGATTCGGGTGTCATCTTATTAGAAGAATCAAATGCACTAAAATTCTGGCTGCTGGTATTATTATCTTTATTTAGAACCGAAGTCAGAAATATGATGTTTCTTTTAATACATTTCCGTACTAATATAATTGCAATTTCTTTGTAAATCAGATCACAGGAAGATTGCGTAGTGTGCGGTGGGCTTGAATTAAATAATGAGCAAACAGAGCAATATACAAAAATGTGTGATCTTTCTTAAGCTAGCAACACTTCCCCATCGAATAAATAGCAACTGATAGGACTGTTATGTTTCGTGAAAAATTGGCAATTTCTGGAGGTGCTTGTTTAAAGTTATTAATATCACATAGTCGTATGGATAATTACAAATTAACAGTTAAATTCTATTTAGTATTCTACATAGGGCTATACGAAAAATTAGAATAACGCTTCTTCCAGGACGGTTGACGTGGTAGACTCAAATATATCATAATATATCACTCTCAACACCTTCCCTATATTTATAATCACTGACAGAAGGCAGCCCTTTAAAGTGTTCTCTTGCAAAAAATATTCATCTATGGGTTTCAGACATCTGCTTTCCAAACCATATACTCTTCCCCTATAACGATATAAGTTGGGTCTCACAAATAGTAATACTGCTCTTCGTGCGGGTCCTACATTTATTTTTACCCCAGCAGTCGCCATGTACCCATTTACACATGGATAGAGAGTGTCGAATATGGATTAATGTGTTGCCAAATGATGTTAGTGCCTGGTTGGGATTAGAACCTCAAACCTTGGATTGAGAGTCAAATAAACGAACCACTTCACCAACAACACCTCACATATGGTTTTGCTTAAGGAAGGAGATGATTACGAAATCTTAACTTCCTTTTTATTTCATTCAGATGAACACTCTCGTGTAAAGTTGATGGCACTGAAAGGCAAGTCTGAGACAGACTATATCAATGCCAACTATATACCAGGGTTCAACTCACCGAGAGAATATATCGCATGCCAAGGACCTCTACCAGAAACAACGAATGACATGTGGAGGATGATCTGGGAGAAGAAATCAACGATCATTGTCATGATGACAAAGACTGTTGAAGGAGGCAAGGTATAATGCAAGAGAGTCATATCTGTCATAGGGGGTTAGGAAATTCAATGTTGATAACAAGTTGAACTAACATTTTATAAAGAAACTCAATTTCACATCTTTATTTATGAGGTCGTCATCATTTTTAAGTTTAATGTTTCCTAGAACAAAAAGCATGAATTTGTTTGCTACATTGGTAAATCCTCCTTCGTTCTGTTTAAAAGGCTCGACGGAATAGTCAAATTAAGATCTGTATATAATCAAAATGGAATTACATATTTTTGAAGAATATGAGGATATTATCTTTGATCAAGCGCAGCTGTGCAACCATAGGGTATATTTCATAATTAGAATATAGCTCATGTAAATCATGTATTTTGTGCATAAAATCTAAATAATTATGTTTCCATCTAAGATCGTATTTGTAAATCAAAGAACAACCACATATAATCAAAATGGACCGACATTATGTTTGAATTCCGTAATATTGCATGTCGGTGTAGTGAAATTAGCAAACGTAGAAAACTGACATACTACGTTTTACAATGAAAATAGTATTTTTTTCCTTCTTTAATGAAGGAAAATTACACATTCTGTCACTTCTTTCCAACAAAAATTTAAAGCTATCGTATTGTTAGGTAGGTTCAAAATGGTGTAACTATCGGTGATCCTTCCCACTACATCTTTGCAGGACAAATGCCATCAATACTGGCCAAAAAAGAAAGGTCGTTCGGATACTTACGGTGGTAGTTTGGAGGTCTCCCTGCAATCAGAGCTTGACTATGAACATTGGATAACCAGGACGTTTATGTTGCAAAAGGTATCATGATTGTTCTCTCTTTGTCATCTGTACTCTATGCTCCACCATTTTAACAATGTGATGATGTTTATTTAAATCAATTTACATTCGAATCCGAGTCTTTGTTTTTTTAACAAGCGGGTAGGAAAACTGTCTGCGAAATTCTCCGAGATACTAGAGAACCGTTTGGATATCAAATACAATCGTGTTGTTGTGGTGGTAGTGGTGGTGGTAATTTTACCTGACTGCTTAGAAAGCATAAATGCTTGTTAGTAAGCAACCAGAGGACCAACGGATTTAGGTCCTCTCCGAGGCTTGTGTTTATGTAACGCAAGTCCAGGCAATAACAATTACAGTAACACCAGTATGATGAAGATCACCCGAAGCTGAAATATACTCCACTTTAATCCTCAAAAAATTATTTTATTTTGGTGCTCTCCCGGCCGAGGGGGATTCCACCTCTCCACCATCCTTCCCCTTGGAATTTCGGCCATGGAATGATCTGAAAAATGTTTAAATTGGCATACAGATATAGAGTATTCATAAAGAATAAACCTATGAGGTTATATATCTCAAATATCTTTCTAATGGTTATTAAATTATCGCTAAGTAACTATTTACATAAATGCTTCGCAGTACCCTTCAGTTAATATTTGTAATTATTATATCAAGACTCTAGGCGATAAAGTCATGAAAGCTCTCGCAAAATCATCTAACGTCGGCCCTTATGTAGAAGGTTTTGGGACAAGCGATAATAAATTTTGGGCTTCTCCATATAGTGTTTAAAAATATCATAGATAAAAAAAAATGTCCCCAGGAAGGATAGCTTTTCAAATGCCCTCGTATTGGAAATAATCGTGACAAGAAATAGCTGAAGTGTTTGGACCAAACTTTCATGACAGATGTGTGTTATCTTGTGTACAAATTTGTGTGTACAGTACACGTGACTGGGTCAATTTCTTATCATTCTGATGATTCCAAAACCTCACAATGCAATTATAATTAAGTTTTACCGATCGCTTCCAGTTTATTTTACAATGCAGCCGCATAGCCACAACTTCAATCAATCTTAAATTATTTGATTACTTTGTTTTTTCCATGCAATCCACAGAATAAGATGAAACGTGAAGTGATTCAGCTACAGTTCACCTCCTGGCCTGATCATGGTGTCCCCGAACAGACAAAACCTATGCTAGATTTCGTGAAGAATGTGAGAGAACGCATCCGCAACAAGTGCGTCATAAAGCCAGTTATTGTTCACTGCAGGTAATGGAATTTCCTTTTCTTCCTCAATCTCTCTTTATCTTCTTTTCTTCCGTTCTTCCATTCCTTCTCCGCGCATTTTTATTATTTTTCTTTGTTTTGGCATTCTTGCGCATCTCTCCCTTCTGTTCACGTATTCCCAGTCTATCTTTGTTTCGTCGTCTCTTCTAGCAGACTTATCCTGTTTGCTTTCTGAACTTTGCGCACTTAGCAACTGTTCTGCCCTTTTTTTTAATTTTGAAAAGCACTGGTTTTGAATTAATGTTTTATTATTTGCCAAAGACAAAGGCTTAATGCTCCCCCAAATCGATATTTAGTATTTCCTACGGTTCTTTCATCACTTTTTCTTTACGTGTCTATTTTTCGTCAACCACCTCAGTACTAATTTTATAAATAGTTAGCTCTTACAGATACAAAATCATTACCACAAATGTTATATTACACACCCTACCAAACAATATATGTACAATATATATGTATGTATGTTTATATAATTATATAACGTAGAGAGAGAGAGAGAGTTAAGTTACTTCTATTACATTGTTAATATATAGAAATAGAATGTATTTGAATGATTTCCTCTTTTATTATGTCGTCAGATATCCTGTATCAGAATAGGTATGACAGAAGCATCATTTGTTTTAGATCTTAAAATTATACTTTAAATCACACCCATTTAAAAAAAGCATTGATTCTTTTCACTAAATTACCCGCCCCTTCCCTCATCAGAAATTTTCAATTCATTTGCATAGTGCTGGTGTGGACAGAACAGGAACAATTTTCCTTTGGATTTATAAATTAAATGTTTTAATTAGATCTTTTAAAAAAAACATTGATTGTTTTCTATAATTACCCGCCCCTTTTATAGTGCTGGTGTGGGAAGAACAGGAACATACATAGCACTGGACCGTCTAACACAACACATGGAGGATAATGACTTCGTAGATGTCTGTGGAGTCGTGTGTGAGATGAGAATGCATAGGAACTACCTAGTACAGACTGAGGTGATATTTTACACATTAGTATTGCGAACTTAAAACTTAAATTTGTTGTTTTATAAAACGGGTCGGCAATATGAATGTAAGTCGAGAAATAAGCAACATACCTGATCAAAATGCCAAGAATCACACAGTCATGGGGTCGCCATTTGCATTTAATCACATTACAGTGCATATACGATGCCAAACAGTGTTGTGCGCGTCTCGTTTGAAACTACGTACAATTCGTAATACCTAAATGTTGTACGCTTCAGATATACGCATACGCACATCTCAGCCGTGCATCATGGGAACTTCTTTGCACGATAGGCGTGGTAGGAAAGTAAATGCGCGGTCACGTGGATGCTGAATTTGTCACTGGTCAGCATTTATTTCTGCAAAAGTGTCTGACTCTGAGCGTCATTTCACATAGATACCATAATTGTGCTTACTAAGACTTATAAAATGGCCAGTAGTATTTGTTTATGTTGTTGTTCTTCTTTCTTGTTCCAGTTTATTACTAAAACCTATTCTAATCCCTCAATATTTTATTTTTCAATTGCAGACGCAGTATATCTTTATTCACGACTGCCTGATGGATTACTTTTGCTCTGGTGTAGCTCCATGAAGTGGAATTCGTTCGAACATGACTGCTGCAGCTGGATTAATTCGATTAATTTGCTGACCTTAATTCGCTGTCACAAATTTTGAAAATCTGATACTACCAAAGGAAACATGAAATTATCCAAAGACCAAATTTTCCTTGGAATTGGATGTGAAATTAAGAAAATATTGACAAAAGATCTGCATAATTTGCTGTCTTTAGCGTACGTTCTGGAAAGTGTAGAACTTACCGACAGGGGTCTAGGAATCTTAATATCGAGAGAAGATGTATTCAAAATTTGAAGTAAAAAGTGATACCAACTAATTGGGTGATATTTTGCCTTGCCAATTATGCAATTATCTAAATTATTCTCGTCAGTTGCAGCGCATTCCGATCCGGCGTCGAATTTCGAGATCGCGATATCTTCGGAATTCTCGACGATAACATTCTAGTTGCAGCAACTTGTAGTCTAAAATTTTGCGTTCCATTTGAATATGATTGAACTAAATACATTGGTGTAGAAGTATGAGAAATCAGGGATCGAATATCACATTCCTAATATTTTGTTTAATATCCGCGAACTTTGGCCACCCCATCATACATTAAACCAGAGAAATAATCGTCATAATTATCGATAACATTTACTGAAATATTTTCAAGCCGAATGTTTTATCAATGTTTTGCCAAAATATCATGCTGTCGTATTAAGACAGTGTAATGACAGGTATAAATTAAAACTGAAGCAATGCTTATGGTTATTCTTAGATAACGATGGTTAGTACTTATCAGAATTGCGTTGATGGTTTTGTTTACCAACAATTGTTAGGTTTATGTAAAGAATGCAACCCAGTATTTTGGACTTGATTTGATTTAATTTGATTTGAACTCAAATATCCACAAATTATGTTCTACAATATTTAGTAGAACAAATGAATTATACAAGTAACAAAATACTGATAAGTATGTACGCATTAAAATAAGTTTACAGAGTACATTTAAGTTTGAGAATAAGACAAAATATTATATATTGCTTGATTTTAACTGACTTGCCTATCAATGTATGCTCGGTGTTGCACCCATGTGCCCAATTGTACTTTTTGAGAGACTTTACTTTTATGATTATTTGTGAGACACATTATTTTGACACGAGTAAACATCTTCACTGCTTGGAGAGAAAAAATATGATTGTTTACTTTTATTTACCTTTACACTCTATGTTAACGTAGAATAATGGCTGCTTGTATATTATGCTTTAGCTACTTAAACTGTCTTAATTAGGCGATAGGATTTTTCTTCCCCTAAACCCCTTCTACTTATACACACACACACACACACACACACCCACACCCACACCCATCGTCCCCGCTCTCCGCTCCCTTCCCCCACGATCTCTCTCCCATCACTCGTTCTCATCTCTTGATGAAACTTTTCTTATTTTCAATGTGACTAGCCCATTGATGCATACTAAGTTAATGAGCTACCTATCAAATGTATTTTAACTACGTACACATGTGTGTGCATGTGGGTGTGTGTGTGTTTGAGAATAGACCAATTAGATTTTAATTAATAGACCAATTAAATTCTACTTGATTCATTACTTTGTAATCAAATAAAAGTAGATGATGCACGTCTATGTATAGCTTTCATTTAATTTAAGAACCGTCAGTATAATTATGTAATTACCAAAGAGCATACAGCATGTAAAGTATTTGATATTGTGTCGTTAATAGGAATGTACCAGTTTAGATATTTGAACAAACCTTTATAATAGTAGTTAGCAATACTATTCGTTTTTCCTCGTTTTTCATAGCCCTATGATATATATGTTTCTTTGTAACTGTTCTATTTCGTACGTTTGCCCATTACTCAGAGTATATTAATATGATTGCATTGGATCCTTTAAATGTATCGAAGATGATATTGTTAAGACGTAACTTGGTATAAAAATTTCAATACCGAGGTTTTTTTGAAGTAGAACTTTTTTGCTTGAACTCCTCATTATTAGGGCAAATTATATGTCACGTGAGAGGGTGAATATCTAGGCAGACTGTTGATAAATCAACACATTATATTTATGATTATTGTTATTAAATAGTACTTTCCAATCTGCTAGTAGTGAATTCTGGTTGTGTCAATTATGATAGTACATGTATATGACTGTAATGGTGTTAAAAATATAACCATATCTTAATCTCTAAAATCAAATGCGTCTGTAGTTATTATTGGATTGAATGTTATTTATGTATGTAGGATTTTTCAAACAAAGACAAATAAGAGAGAGAAAGAGAGAGAACAAAAGAATGTGGGAGATACCTTAACATGGATAGTCCAAAATGATGAAACGTCTCAGTACAGACTAAAGAAATTATGTTTGAACAAATATGACCGTAATTGTAGTAAAATTGAAACTATTTTGAGCACTGAATATGAATGATATGAGCAATTTAATGCAGATGAGACGAGATGAGGTTTGGCAATTCCAAAGAAAGATGGACGATGGCAGGCGAAGGTGAAATAATACGTTGTGAATATTCAACATATTAAAGGAGCTGAAGTTTTGATAACATTTTTTTAACATTCTACCTCGATTGGGATGCTTTAATAACTCTGTAGCAACAACTTAATGTAACACTGCCTAGCTAACATTGTATAGTGCTCGAGGTATCTCTCTTTTCCTACACTCAGCAGAAAAGAAAGTGGACACTTTATTGTCCAAAATGTTTATGTAAACCCGCAATCAAATATAATAATATAACCCGCTGCAAAATCGGTCAGTTTTTGCAGGTTTAGTGTTAGGTTTAGGGTTAGGGTTTTAGGGTTAGGGTAAAATGACAAAGAATGACCGTTTTTGCAGCGGGGCCGAGTTGTCCCCAGTTCCGAGTTAGCCCAGATCCATATATATATATATATATATATATATATCAAATTGAAGGAAAGTTAATACTCTACCATCATCTTTACTATGATCAAGTTTTTAACTTTCAAGTTTGGAAAGGCACATTGGTTAAACCGTTAGAAGGTCTGATTAAGAAAATTGCAAACATTTTGAAGATGTGCATCATTCTGTAAGATATTATTGTACAACAATGAAAACAAAGAATGAGAAACGATGATAATGATTTAGCTCTGGATGTCAACTGTACTCTGTGGACTGCATGGTTTGACAAGCATGGTCAAGATGCCACTCGTGTTTTTCTTGAGTTTTTTTACTTTTTTCGTTATTTTAATTTGACTCTACAAGATGGAAATGCTCATCAACATTTGGATGGCCAGATGTCCCATTTTCGCAATTTTCCTTTAGACTAATATATTGTTAAATGGCTATGCTAAGTCACGCGTGAATGGTTTGATTCCAATTACATATCATCTTAATGAGGATTGATTTATGTTTATATTTTGACATATGAAAGATAACTTTATATTGAATATTTATTAAAAATCTTAATTACAAGTTATGTCCACTTTTTTTTTCTCTCTTTTTTTTCTGAGTGTATAATGCCATTTACCCAGATGCTATCAGAATATAGTACTAGTAACTTACCGTTTTGAAATTTACATTTTCCGCTTATGTTACCATTGTGACAAATACCAACAGAACTACACATTAGTGTGTTTCATCGAATTTTGTTAAGCGTAAATTTATTTAATTCAACAGTGTCAAATAGCAATACATGTCTTTCAAAATTTATTCTACATTCATGCAAATCAGGACATAAACCTTAAAATTTCAAATTTGTCAGATCATATCAAACTTGGTGTCGAATTAAACCTAGACCAATTTTTTTTGCAAATATGACAAAATTTAGACATTTTCACAATGCTGAGTGTTGAAATTTGCACAATCAATTAACATATTCTCGAAATCAATATTTTACACAAATTATGACGAACTTCCAAAGAAGATAAAATGTTCGATTTATATGACCTGTTTTCTCAAATATTCAAGTGATACACAATGTGTAAACAATAAAGGAATCAATGTTAGCATGAATTTCTTTTCTGCACAATGTATTATGTTTCAGTAACCTTGGAAAATTATACGCCAATAGTTTGTCATTCCTTAACGCCCAAAGCATATAATTTCAAATTATTTCTGAAGAAAAGTATTATAGATTTTAGGTATATCAAGTTTACTTTTACAAAAAAAGACATATAATTTTTGTTTGAAGAAATATATCATATGCGAATTATGATTATGATTAAATCTGTAATTCCGTATCAAAATGATATTGTGGAATGTAGAATTCAAAATTGAAATTTGAAAAATGATTCCATGACTTTCCATGACCCCTTTTTGTCTTTTCCATGACCAGACAAAGTACCATTTTTTGTATGGGTTGCGGCATATTAAATAGCGGCTTATGAATACCACGCCAAATGTCAATTCAAACTGGAAGGCTGCCATAGCCAAACACGGCCCATGCTCACGATCAATTTCCATGACTTTGGGGAACTTTTTTTTCTTCATTTTCCGTAAATTCCCATGAACTTCCAGGTTTTCCAATGACAGTGGGAACCCTTGGAATGACATCACATTGATTTTTGTTCACAAATGAATTCAACCCTGAATATATTTTTGATTTAGTTTTATATCTCAGACATTTTAAAACTAAACTGGAGATGATAAACTCACCTTCTCAGTTTGAAAATCCTATCTGCTTTGATTGTCAAGAAATATTTTTGTTTTGGTGTACAAAACAAATAGGAAAAAAATTGCATTATCTCTCTGCAACTTTTGATTTCGTATATTTCAGATCTGCATATTGGTCTAGATGATATCATCAGATAGAATAAATCATAAGGTAAAATTACTATAAATTGATATAAAATATGATACAAACGAGGTTCATAAAACAATAAAGTAATTACGAAATGAAATGGATTGAATGATTTAGTCCATCTGAGTGCCTCTCTTAGGCTTGTCAGATTCATTTTACAGAGAAATCAAAATTTTCAAAACAATTATTATTAACAAAATGTGATTTTATGAATAAACTTTGCCTAAATCATAATAGAACAAAAACTCTATAGTAGAGCTATTTCTACCACAGAAATCTAAGGCCATCTTGGAATTTCAAATCATTTACTCAATCTTTTTATTACACCGCATTTTAATAACTTTTTTACACTACATGACTTTTATACATAATGTCCCTTTGAATTTCAGAAGTCGTTCCGTAATAATCATTCCGTAAACTGTATCATTTCACATGTTGCTTCATATTTCAACTGCTTTCAAACAGATTTCCATTTAACTTGTGACACGTCAAATTTACTATACGTCAAAATACCATGGCAAGTTCGAATACAGTTGATATACTGTACATGTAGTCAAAGTTCACATAGTTTGAGCAAGGAATGTTCTGGATGAAATTAAAGGTCGTGTCCTTTTTTTATAAAATTTTCTTAACTTTAACTCTAATCCAGCCAATAACGTTATTATCCATATTTAGCAGTTTTATCTTGGCTAGCTTAGGTCATTCTAAAACTGAGTAAAAGGTAGGGTTTTTTTGTTTTTGTTAAGTAGAGCGTACATTTGTGTACGACGCTGGGCCCCTTTCATGTTAAAGTCAATTACACTTATTAAAAATTCACATTATGTTTTGTATTCATTTTCGATTCAGAAAAAGCAGCGAAAGATCATACAACTGCATTTTTAACCTTATACTAAGTAGGTTTACGGGAGTCAAATGCATTTAAAAAAAAATAATCTTTCAAATTGATTTACTCCTTTTGACGTCTATATGCTGAACAATTTTGACAATGGGTAATAATGATCACACAAATATTGATAACAAGTACAAAGAGTAACTGAATAATATGTTGATAACATGTCCTTATCAAGTACCTGTAGAACTGCATCTTTACATTTGACAGTATTTACCCTATATATCTGTTTAGACAAATATGTTACGTACATGTATGAATTCATCTGTCATTTGTTCTGCTTTTATTTAAATATTAGTACTTTGATAAATGATAACTTAATTAGATAACTATTGAAAATTGTTTTTCAGTAGTTGATTTTATCTTTTGCTATCTTTTCATTTATTTTGCTGCAGGAAGGAAAATTCTTTGTCACAGTTTAAAATCTTGTTTACTCATAACCATCCTTTGGCATTCCATATGAACCACATTTACGAGTAGATCTATGAATATGTTTTAGTTATGAGAGGATACAATAATACAAGTATATTACACGTACAGAACAGGTACTATCTAAGTCTTTGATCAAAAGTACTTTAGGTCAATGTTACAAACCAATGAGACAATCGAGCGGGATCGCTTACATATATTTTTTATCTTTCAAAAAAGCTTACTACAATCGTCATTTAGGAATGCTTGGGAACGTAATTATTCAAGATAGTTTGAGTTAAGAAACAATCAGAATTTACCACGTAAATAATATCAAATGTATCTTTATATTGATTAATATAAATACCATTCATAATGGGGGGAAAGAGAAGAATACAAGAGATATAATTGGACCTGGAATTGGCAAGTAAAATAGTACTTTTTCCATACTAGTGTTTTAGATCAGTAAAATTGAAACCTTCCACTAGGTAGACCATTGCAACATGGTAATTTCCTACTGTGATTGGGGGAGAGTAGGCTAAGAATTCCCAAAACAGACAATCAAGAAATCATAGGGTCTGAATAGAAATCAAAGAATCTTAAAGACAAAGTGGTGATAATGGTGATGATCTTAAAACTTCACTCGCTAATTCGCTTTGCTATACACTTCAGGATGCTATACACTTCATGAATGTTAAGATGAATACAAATTTTACAGTGTCAAGTTTTAATACCTTTTGTCTAATTAAATGTATATGTCTATGTCTATGCTACATCCATTTAGTCACTAGTAAATGAGAAACTTAATGTAAGGAACACAGTGAAGGGAGTTTATTTACTTTTCACGTGAGATATTATTGTAAACATCAGCACAATACCAATATGTATAGCGCATGCATATTATATAGGGCGTTATGTACATTTATATACTTTTTAATAACATGGTGATTTTGAGATAAGTCTAGTTGTGCTGATTGAAAGACCTGAATTATATAAGTTTCTAAACTAGAGGTATTTCAGAAGGTACCCTTCTCCTTTTTCTTTGTCATTTAGCTCCTAGTTTCAAGAAGACCTCGTATAAATGATTGAGGACTATCAGAACAGTTCACTTACACATAACAATACTCAAAAATGAGCTGACCAACAGCAATATGTCGTGTATATGAATTGTAAAAACCGATAATCTAATCGTGGTATCACTTACACGTATTTTGCTCTGTACTAAAAAAAATCCGAAATTTCTATTTTCCCTAAAAAAAAATGTTCAATCATTCATGCACCCTATACGTTTTTTACATTACCACTATATGAAACAAATCTATTCTGTTATCAATAAATGAGAAAAAGAAAGTTTATGACATTTTCTGTACAGAGCAAATTGGACAGGACCTCGCAAGATACGTGTCAGTGTTGTCAATTTGTGTTTCACTGATGACAACTTTTAAAATTTATAACTTTCCTTTTTTAGTCGAATATTGCTCAACTTTTAACTAATTTGTTTCTATCGTTTTTTCTACTCGTATTAATACCATATTGTTATCAAGGTGAGTTCACCTTTTAAAGAAAAAGCACAAACACTTTTATTTTTCAAAAAGAAGCATAGAAAAACTATAATCTTGAGCAACAAGTAACCTAAAACATATTTCTGACAAAACAATCTACAAAAATAGCTACAAATATTAATATTACTCTGGAAAAGAATGTCAAGTTTGCATTGCATTTTCTATTTCCTCCAAATTATCTTTAATGTCACAATCTCCAGATAGCAATAACTAAAGAAATTCATTTACTTGCTGTTTGGGATATTTTTTTAATAATTTGTACAAAAGCATGAAAAAATACTGTTGGTTAATCATATTGACTTTCAAGACATAATGGGTATTCTGAATCATTCCTGATTCCTTGTATGAGCTTATGTGCTCTCAGCAGCACCTGCTATAATATAAGGTGAATTTCATATGAAGAAAACCTGTTTTTATTGCTATGTTATTGCAGCAGGATTTATAAATGATTCGGATGTAATAACTTGCTTAAGAGTGTTTTCTATTTAGGCATTATAGAAACATGTAGATCATAAAGATGCTTATTTAATATGGTGAAGTAACTTTATATGACTTAATTATTTCCTTGTTTCATCGATGGCTATATAATTATGGATACACCTGTATAAGTATCTGAACTTTAAAAAGTATGTGTTTTTAGTACTCAGGTAGGCAGAAAGTTTTTAAAGTAGGCTACATACAGTGTACGAAATATAGAAGAGGAAAGCCCAGGTCATACCTTATGAGATCAATGAGCAGACTCATGCTCATGTGCGTTCACAGGTAATTGAAGAAAATGGGTATTTTAGCCATAATTATTACAGTCCACTGAGTGGATTTTGTTCTCAAATTACTTACGCAAAATTTTCATTGAGAAACTATGGAAACAATATTATCCGCAACAACAAATCGGATTGTCCAAGTTCACACATGGTGGAATGCAAAATAATAAAATTGAACCCATATGCATACACTTGCGCATTGTATAAACATTGGTATAACAGCATTGGATACACAAAGTACTGTACATCACAATGCACAAGTTAGTGCTTCTGCAGGACCTAACCAGTATGTTCTACGTCATATTGTGAGTCATTTCATTCTGTATGTGAGAATTGACTTTTAACAGACTGTTTCCTACTATCTCTCTTCGTTACGCTCTTGATTCGGTAATCCCCGTGGTGTTTGGAGGAGACCATTCCCACATAACCAGATGACTCAGAATGCTGTACCAGCCGCCTGGGTCCGGACGGTCCGGACGGTCCGGCTTCATCTTCTTCATGCACATCATCCAGTACAGATGTATCTATCACTACTTCTGTAATTGGAATGTAAAATTCGGCACTTTCTACCAAATCGCAATCCACTAGGGCCTTTTCTAGAGAATCATTTCGGAACTGTGGTTTTGTTTTCTTCAGCCACTCCTGTAGCATTACGAGAGTGCCCGTGGAGTCAACCGCCACGCCTCTCACATTTGTCGAAGCATATCGCATTGCCTTAGCGTGTGAAAACCCCAATTTCATGCTTAACTTTACTACTATATTATTAGGGATCTCTTCCGATAGTTCCAACAATTTCATTTCTTCCTCTGGAGTTGTCCCACATCCCTCAAAAGATACCGTTGAGAACGGACTTTAATTGACAAAGGAGGAAAAGAAAAGAAAGAAAAATATGTTACCAACCCGCATACTAATTTTTCCTCAATAAACTGCAAGGGCACTTACAAGTATGTCAACGATTAGTTATAATACATTATATGCGCGTTACGATCTGTCGGGATTCCTAAATTCCTGTACAACTTTCACAGAAAACAAAATTTGTTTAAAGCTTATGTCTGTCACTCGTCAATTACTCGAATGAACCATTTTCCTTCCAAAAATATTAAGAAGAGAGGCCACACACATTTCCCCCTTTTTTTCAAAGTGTTTGTGTCTGTATGCCAAAAGGGGAATGATGGTATGGTGTTTCCACGCATAAGTATTCAAAACGAAGATTGTAGAACTAAATGACAAAAACGAAGTGCAACATAGTAGTGTCTATGTCATAATAATTGGATGTATATCTCGCAGTGACTATAGAATATCATGATTTACCTAGAAAGTGAAAAGTCATTCTTTCATATACATTTTTCACTTGCTACTGAAAATTGTTGAACAAGTTTTTCAACTGAAAAGTCAGATTTAATAAAAAATATTTTGCAACGGTGATATAAGGAGGAATGAATTACATTTTGTCATTGGTGTGCAGATCCAAACGTAAACGCTTATTGTGCAGGGATGTTAGTCAGATACCTTTGTCTTCTTTGAAATATCCAGGGTACTACATTATAAACACCTCAATACCCTTTTTGCTTTAATAATTCTCCATGAAATTTTTACTAACCCAAATGCTAAGCAATTAAAAAAAAACTGCTCCCACTTTCTATGTCAACCTATAGCACCAATATCTGTTGTGGGAGGCTGCACTGCACTTAGTCTGCTGCACTTATAAAAGGAAACATATTATACGGAATGGCAACGACTGCTAAATAAATCATGTCCCCCCATGAAACGAATTGAAGATATATTCTTTGAAATACTCACTCCGGAGCAACCTGCTGGGGCATGGTGGGCTCAGGTTCTACAACGTAAAGTAGGGAAAGATGATTACTCATGAGTTAAATAAGAATCGTGTTGTGTACATCATAAATATATCTTTTGCGCCATGTTATCTTATAAGATACGATTTGTTTTAAATGAATAAGTGTTTACACAGTATTTATTGAACATTACTGAAGGTAAACATGCAGAACGGTGAAATCGAAATTTCCAAGATGATGATTATTGACGTATTACCGAATCCATTTACATAATGTCCATTACTATTTTAATTTTAACCCCGCTTGCAATTACTCACCAAGAATTTAATTACTTATAGTCAGAGTTAGATATATATACATATATATATATTACATTACCTTGCATCCGAACTTCGAAGAGTGAAGTCTCCAGTTTATGTGACCCTTGAAAAAGAGTTATTCTGATGTTCTTTGAACCGTACTCCTCTTTACCGAAATCCAACTCAAAGCTTGTTTTGTTAGACTTCCTTTCCCGCAACCTTGTATGAGCAATCTATAGGAATCACAGATTAAAAAAACTTGAAGGCTTTTTCTTTTTTCATTTGTTTTCATATTATATAAGATATACTAAAAAATATATAGCAAGTTATGTCCTATTAATCGCTACTGACCTCAGATAATTAGAATAACGGTATTAGTTGTATAACATATAATTATACAAGACCTCTGCCAATAAATCCCATAAAGAGTTGCGAAACGGCAACAATAATGAAAATGTTGGGAGTTTTGTCATTAGTTTTTATTCCAGTGTAATTTAACATGGAAATTATAGCTCCTGAAATGCTCTTATATATATGACAAAAGGAAAATTTAATTTCTTTATCTGGTAGCAGACGTTTGCGCAGTCCAAAGTATGCCTACACATAAACGTGCGCACTGCTATCTTATTTTGTGATCTTCAAATCCAGGATCTCATGATGCAATTATTCTTATTTATGGGGCGGTCACACATAGGAGACGCGCATTGAAAATTTAAAATTTTGGACAGTGCGCTGTCGTTCGCTAAGTGTGCGTCATCATTCGTTAATCGTTCGTCGAGCGCACTGGACCAACGCTATGAATTCGACGTCATTCGCTGTGTGCGTCGGGATTTTTTTTAGCATGCTCAAAAATGTGCATGAAGCTCGACGCATGAATGTAAACGCCAAAAGAACGCCAGATACGCGCAGAGCACACGCTATATGTACTCGTTGTAATAGTTCGGCGGCCGAGCTAGGTCTTGCAATCGAACGCCTAGTGCACACCTAGCGCATATCTAGAGCCCGTCAAACGCATGTACAGCGAACATGCAGCGAGAATGAGCGTGTTGAACGAGTGCAGAACGTGTATGTCACGTCTCTAGTGCACCCAACGTTCTTCTTGCGTCTGCCTAGCGTAGTGGGGTTCGGGGACGCCGGTTTAATTATCTTGGGTGGCATCTTAAAGAGCTCAGTTGTATACGTGTTGTTGCGCTACTTTGATACGACGACAAACGCCGCTTTTTATAGCCACATTCACGTGGCCGCTGCCGTTCGCGCGCTTGCTGCATGTGCTTCGAGCAAGCAGTGCATGCGTGGACCATTCGTCCCGCGCTAGCAACACACTATGCATTCGCTGTCAGCTCGCTAGCTTCTGACAAAAGTTGGGCGCACAACGTTGCAGTGACCTTATTTTACGATTTTCAATGAACGGACAGTGTGTCGTCTATGTGTGACCGGGTCTTTACATATGCACTTGAACTAACCTCCTCCTTAATTTCTTTTGCACCATCCGAGCATACAATCGTGAGGTCCTCATTCAGCGTGTCCATTGATACCTCGGTAGGTGGTGCCGCTTTGCAGAATTCTTGGTTCAGATGCTCGTGCTCCTCACAAATTTTCTTGTATATAAGGAGAAAGAGAACACGTTGTATATGAATGAGTCGTATCTTATTAATCCAAAATATATTTGGAGAACATTGATATTTGTTTGAAAGAACTGTTTGATTATCTGTTAGTAAAATGAACAAACAAAAAATTCAAACTGTCATGTAAAATGGAAAACTTAAGATCTATGCATGAGCTGATAAAGTTATTTCGTACAGAAGTATAACTTCCAGTGAGACACAAACATGGTGTGTGCCCTTTAAAGTTATGTAACCATTACTTATTCATGCATAGATAGATAATTAACTAAAATACGTGAACCTGTTAGAGTATTCTTGCTAAAAGCGCATAATTCTATTTACCATGATCATGGAGCATATTTCTTGTAGACTTTTCTGTGGAGAAAAAAATCCTTCTAAAAAACCTGGGCTAACTACGATCTGGTAAATTTCATGCGTCTGATATTTTCCACTATATTCCACTAATCCAGGTCATAAACCCGACATTAGGTCTTAAATCATACCTAAAATGAGGGATAAACCCGGTTTTGAAGAAGAAAATAAACACAAAGCGTCAAGTTTAAATGTGGGTACAATACGGGCCGAGTGTTTGCCCTGGGATGGATTCCAAAAATCATTGTTGTTCTCACCGATTCATTTCTTTTGTACATTTGATAGAAGAAAACCTGGAGTATGGGCTTTCTTGACCGCGGCATGATCGATGGGTGAAAAGGCAAGAACCCGAATTTCACACCTCGAAGCTTTTTCATGCTGATCCTGAACGTCGAGAAGTGACGAACATTCACCACGACTGAGTCGTCTGTAATGGTGTAGTCATCTTGAGATAGTTCTTCTCGGGTGTAGTCGGCTGAAAACAAAAGTAGATTGTGATGACAATACTTGAGTAAGTAAAGCAATTAATTCAAATGTGTCACCTCTACCCAAATGATACAAATTTGCCTTGCACAATTATAATGACAATGGTTGTGGGGGGACTTCCTATTGTACCAACAGCCTACGAAACCAACAGTGTCGTGACACTTCAGGGAAGCTGTCAAAAGGCCCGCTCGAGATCTTCAATGTTGAACTCTTGTTCGACATTGAAGGTCTCGGGAACCTTGAGATATCCTTTCAAAGGCCGAGAAGAACCGACATTATCGGTCTCGTGGGATTTAGCCATCGCTGTTCAATTCAATTTGTATTAAACAAAATATATTGACCTGTTCCGTGACTGGTGTAAAGGATTACTTCAGTTTCATCTGTTATATTGTCTAGACTCGTGCAGTGAGGCACCGTCAGCTTGACTGGCTCATCGAAGGTCAAGCCAGAAGGAGTACACTGGACTGGAGGTGATGCCTGGATTTCCTCCTCATCGCAGATCAATTCTGGGGCATGATTTGGAACCTTGACTGTGACAACTTCACACGTCTCTTCTCCAAGTGCACCAGGAGGAAGAGACACCTGTACATCTCCTTCTCCGAGTTGAATGTCGCCTCCCTCGCTGTCCATCGTCGTAAAGGAAAACGAGTCTGCTAGACCAGGTTCTTGTTGAATTGCTGTATGGGAAAATCCAGAAGGAGGCAATTTGAACTCAAATTAATAAGAATTTTACACAAAAGGAAACCTAACGTCTGAACGTAATTGTGACATTTAATACAGTTTTCCAGTCCATCTCTTAGAACTAAATACAAAGGCAAGCTACATGATCAAGTGTTGACATCTTAAACCATCAGATATGAAAATCTTGGATTATAGATATCAAAAGTCCCTGTCAAGGTACAAAAGGTTCTTCTGGATTTATTCATAGAAAATATATGTTTCTGTGTACTATGATGGTCACGTAACGATAAAGTGATGTATGGGGATAAAAATCCTTCGGAATTAACTACCACAAGTTGCAATACGCGGGGTCCTGACATAACTTATATCAAGATTTTTGTAAAAGTTATCATCATGGTGTTAATTACAACACATGTAAGTTCGATATCATGGTTTTTCTGCAAGTCAAGCCACGTTATCACATCCTGTTTTATTTGATCTTTAGATGACTGTTGAAAAAGACGAATTAAGGTTCTGAAAGAGCTTCTAAAAAAGGCAAAAAACCTAAGCATCCATCTAGGTATTAGCTCGGATATTTTCACATGTAACACCTTAATTTTTAATTCTTTAATTAAGTAAAATTTGAGATGAAGAACACTAGTCTTTACCAGTCGAGACTATTTCTGCTGGTTCGGTAAGATGCCTCGCTTGAAGAGCACGGAGGAGTTCATCTCGTTTCCCTCCTTTCTCCACCCACTTTGAAAGTAGCTCGATTGTAGCATCCCATAGCCTTTGTTTTGTTGGTGGTGATGAGCTTTGGTCAATCTGACACATGACATCTTTTGCTCGGTATTCCAACTTCGACGCCATTTTGAGCAATGGGGTCATAGTGTATATCTCCGTAGACAGTTGCTCGAGAAGGACATCGTACTTCTTTGCTGCAAAATCAATAATAATTTATAGAGACAGAGACGCACACTCAAGAGAAGAGAAGGAAAAGGATAATAGACAGAGTTGTAGATAGACCAACAGAAGAAGCAAAACAAAACAAAACAGAAAAAGGTGTTATTCATTCATTTATCAGATTTCCCCTAAGAATCATGAACGTTTTTCTCCAAACTTTCCTTAAGCTATATGTGGTACAGTTACAGGGAAATATATCTTAAATATCTTTATAATTACAAATGCAATTTTTTTTTTTTTATTCATTACAAAAGGAAAAGTGTTTTTTTTTGTTTTTTTTATTATAACCCATTTTTAATCATCTATGGCTATTAAAGGATGTTTGTATACATATAGCCATAGCTCATCGCCATTTCTAAAGTACAGTATAGATATCGGTTTTGTACTTTTCCCTGAACAAATACGTCCATATTCTGGAATTGTCTTCAGAATTTTCTTCTTTGCTTTTTCATTTCCCGTTTTCTCCCGAGACCATGACTTCAAGATTTGGAGAGCAAGGCTCCTGTGGTCTACGAGAGGAAGTGCTTTGGCTATGATGTCATGTTCCAGTCTGAGTTCCTTGCAGAGTTCCCATAGGTCCGAAACGCTTCCAACAGTGTTTGCTATGTTATGCAACTCATCCCGGGTTGGTTCACCACCGGACTCATCATCCTCGAATCCAATGTCAAAAAGGAAATCATCTTCACTGTCAAGGATGACTCCATCTTTTTGAAATCTGAAAAAAAAGACATCATTGTCATGTTAAAAATAAGGTACATAAACAATTTGGGTTCAATATTTACTACATATTCCAGAAATATTGATGATAAATAGTAATCCATGAAAATGTTGTAACATTGGTGCTTCTGCGGGGTGTTCGAGGGCACGTGCAACCCCAACACTGCCCTCCACCTCATGTTATAGAATGGGAAACATACAGGGAAAGGAAAAACAAAGAATTACAAAAACGCAGAAGGGAAGATGAGGCCTTAGAAGATGATCGAACCCCCTCCCACATTTACCCCTTATCAGTGGCCTGGTAAATTTGAATGTTATGCAATTGGTAAAACTTGTGCCGTCCTTCCCTTGATGCCAGTGCCCCCTCAGCGGCTGGTGACTCTCTTTGACACTGATATATGACGTACATTATGTTTAATATGTCGGGTCGCAGTCGATGACACATTCTATTGTAAAATAGATTAAATAAAGTAACTACAAGCTATATGTTTTGAGATTTAATGTAAGAATAAAAACGAAAAACTGTAGTGCTAACCTTGAAAGGATTCGTCGAATATGTTCATCGCTGGCTGGCGAGAAATGCTAGCAGAAAAAACATAAATCAGCTGAAGACAGGAAACGGGAAAAGAATTATTGAAAAACAAGACGAAATATTGAAAGAAACCGTTGATTTTTATAGTAAGTTGTATACTAAAGAAGATATTGATGTTAAAAATGCAGAAGATTATATTTTTTCTCAAAATATTTCATCTCTCTCTGACGATGAAAATAAAATATGTGAAGGTTTATTAACACACAGGGAATGTAAACAAGCTGTATTCGCAATGAAGAAAAACAAAACTCCAGGCTCTGACGGAATAACCGCGGAATTCTATCAGGTGTTCTGGAATGAGATCTGTGATATTTTAGTTGCCGCTCTTAATAACGAGTGTTATGCTAATGAGAAAATGTCGGATACTCAAAGGAAAGGAATAATTACTTTGATATACAAGAAAGGGGATCACCGAGAGCTGAAGAATTGGAGACCGATCACATCGCTGAATAGTGATTATAAAATAATTGCAACAGTGCTTGCAAAACGTTTTCAAAAAGTAATTGGTAAAATTATTCATGAAAATCAGTCGGGTTACATAAGAGGTCGTCTGGCGGCTTGTAATGTAAGACTTACTAAAGATATCATTGAATACATGACAAGGAACGGTAAAAACGGTGCTCTTATGATGGTAGATTTTTCTAAAGCTTTTGATGTAATTGATGTAACTTTTATAAAAAAATGCCTGAGTAAATTTAATTTTGGACCTGTTTTCCAGAAGTGGGTAACAATTTTATACACAAATATTTCAAGTTCTGTAATTGTAAATGGTTGGTTATCTGAAACTTTTAGTGTTCTGAGAGGAATACGCCAAGGGTGTCCCCTCTCGGCCTTATTGTTTGTAATGGCCGCTGAATTAATGGCAAATAAAGTGAGAGAAAATAAGGAAATCAAAGGTCTAGATATTGATGATAAAGGTATTGATCTGAAATTGCTGCAATATGCAGATGACACCTTATTTTATGCATCTGATATAAATTCTTTTGAAAATATTTTAATCGAATTAGAGGTTTTTGGCATAGTTGCAGGACCGAAGTTAAATAGAGAAAAAACTGTCTTGATTTGGATTGGAACAGCCTGTCAACGATGGTCGTTATCTTGTTTTGGCTTACATTGGACAGATGAGCCAGTAAAATACTTAGAACATTATATCGCACCTGATCTGCAGTGTGCTTTAAAGATAGATTGGGAAAATAAATTAGAAAAAATGCAAAAACTGTTAGATAACTGGAGAAAAAGAAACCTGACTTTGTTTGGAAGACTGACTATTATCAAATCACTTGCAATTAGTCAAGTTATCCATTTAATGATTGTTGATACAATACCGTCTACTTTTTTGATAAAACTTAATAGCCTGATATTTAAATTTCTTTGGAAAAGTAAATTTGAAAAGGTAAAACGATGTATTGTTACTGAGGATTATTGTGAAGGAGGAATACGAATGATTGATGTTAAAAAGCAGATGTTTAGTTTTAGGCTGAAGTGGCTTGGGATGCTTTTAGATAATACAACAGGAAATTGGAAAGACATATGTAAACATTGGTTTGACTGTTTGGGAGGGCTGCATCTACTGCTCAATTGCAATTATACTGATTATACTTAAAATCTCTTAAAACTTAGAAATGTCCCATATTTGTATATAGAAATATTACATGCATGGTACCTCATAAACAAATACACATCAGCTGAATGTCAGACACAGAAACATGTCGACGAAAATATTTTATGGTATAATCAAGATATTGTTTTTGAAAAGAAAATGTTATTTTATGAAGACTGGTATAAAAGTGGTATTATATACTTAAATGATATCTTTAAAAATGGTACTTTTGTTTCAGTAAATGAATTATTTATCCGCCTTAAAACTAGGAGAAGTAAACAATTTTTGATTTTTGACTATACAAAGTTACAAAAATCAATTCCAAAAATTTGGATAAATGATAAGCATAGGGTACCTTTGGTTTTCAAAGACCATAATTTCTCTATCCCTCATTTTGTATTTGGAAAATCAGTTAAGCCTGTTAGTCTTTTGAGTAGTAAACAGTGGTATAATATGATTAGTTTTGAACAAATTAAAATAAATAAATGTTGTTTGTATTGGGAAGATGTCTTGCAGAAGGACGTTTTAAAATGGTCCTCTGTTTTTAATAGGAATTTGATTGGGATAAAAGATTTTCGTCTACGTGAATTTAATTTCAAGCTTTTATATAATATGTTACCAGTTCGTAACAATCTGTTCAAGTGGGGTCTCTCATACGATGACCTTTGTTTAAAATGCAAAAAGACTGAAGATGTGCTTCATGCTTTCATTTCATGTAAGGCAAATGAAACCTTCTTTGCATATTTAAAGGACTTATTTCCACGTGCTTTCAATCTTAGAATAGAGATAGATATTGTTTTATTACTCAAAATGAATTCGCAAACCGAAATCGATTGGATAATGACTATTGCTTTTTGGTCGATTTATAAAATGATTATTTTTCGTAATAAGTATGGGTATGATAATAGAGATTTGAGTTTGATTTACTTGTTTAAGAGAGAAATGACTAACAGAATAGAAATAAACGAACATTTGAAAGTACAAAATATGAAATTTCCTGCCAATTTGCTTAGTTATATTTGAATAAATAACTTGTGCATTATTGATGTTCCATTGATTTGCTGAATTGTAAGCAAAATTATGTTACTGTTTGAATATTGAATAAACACCTCTAAGAGGCAAAGAGAAAAAAACAAAAAACTCTCTTGTATGAAAAATTAAGCTTGTCCAGTTGGTTCAGCAAATAAATCATTCATTTCATCAAAATACTACACTCACCTGAAATTTATTATGTTTGAAGTGTGGCATCACAATGACAATGTTGTCTTTCTCCCTCACAGTGAGTTTCACCCCCATCACATTATGACAGCCCCTAGAAAAATAAGAGTACATCAAATCAAAAATGTAAATTAGTGTTGGTGAATCAGCAAAGGGTGAAGAACAGAAAGAAATAACAAAGAGATGAAAAGCAGATACATGTAGTACAGAGGATAAAAAACACCAACAATGATGGAATGAAGAACAAGATTCTAGAAAAGGAAAAGAGAACAGTCTCATACATTTTGATTCATGAGGTGGTATCCCTTATGCAAACTTTTGAGAATAAACTTTGACCTTTGCCATAGATACCGTAAGTAATATACTGTAACATGTCAATATAAAATCTTACACTTATATTTAGGTTCTGTAACATATTCCTACAAACTGGAATAATAATCTCATTCACCTACAAAACACAAGTACATGAGTACAAAAACAGTATATGAGTACAAAAACAACACATGTACAAAATACCATATGATAATTCAATTTGAAATCCAACAGCGGACAATGTCAAGAAAAGTCGGTTACCAATTTGAACTTTAGGAGGATAGAGCTTCTTGAATAATTTTTTTTAAAATGATCACCGAGACATTCATGAGATGGATGACCGATGAAAGAGCTGCGGCCCATTTCATGAAACCTGTTATCTATAACAAATACTAAATTTCTATGACAAGTTTGCTCTCAGCCAATCAGATGCCATAATTTCAGTAGCTTATAACAATAGCTTGTAACTTGTTATTGATAACATTATTTTATGAAACAGGCCCCAGAGCAGCATTCAGCTATATGACGTACCCTATTCTGACCAAGCAGCTGAGTTCACTGAGGATACGAGATGGATGACTGGTAGGGATGATGTGTTTCAGAGCAAACTCCTGGTTACAGTCTGGAGTCTTCTTCAGAGTGGCTCTATACACAGAACTGAATGTACCTGTAAGAAAGGGGAAAAGATATCATATCTTTATCTCTCCTGCTGTATTTTAGTGTTGTATGGATACAATTAATTCCCTAGGGGCATATCAAATACTTGAATACAGTTTATTCAATCTTGATAGTTTTGCAATGTACCACTTCTGGATGAATTAAAACAAATATATATTAATAAATAAAAAAATCAATCAATCAACAAAATATTAAAAATGCAAAGCTGACCCAGACTTACATGTAGAATTTTAATTGAATTAAATTCCTTTCTTCAAAAAGATACTAGTGGGTGGGGGCTATTTTTCATGTGATCAGGTCGTGGTTCACAAGTGATAAAAAACAACAACGAGTCAAAAATAACAATACATTTTACCTAAGCTAAATAATGCCTTATTTGATGGTTAACAGTAATGTTAATGTTCAAACTTCACTTCTATTAATAGTGGTGAATATTTTCTTTAAAGCTTCTTGAGATGCATACAAATCATTTCTTCTATAAACATCACGTAAGTATTCTCACCTTCTCCTATTTTGTCAAGCACTGTGAACAACTCATCAATTTTGGGAACAGCTTTCAGCATGGTGCTTATATCTGCCCGTATTTTCTCTGAAAAGAAGAGCGAAAATGAGAGACTGAAGTCAATTTTACATCAGTAACGCCCCCTCATTGCATTAGATAAGGAGAGATGAGGTACAATATGACAAAGAAAACATAACAGGTTAAATTGTATTTTGTTTCATATTCATCATGACTTATATTATTTAAATAATTTAAATAATCGTAAACAATTTGTTATTATTGATCGACAGTCTTCTGATTTATGTAACATTGTGACTGGAATTCCTCAAGGGAGTATCCTTGGCCCCCCCCCCCCCCATTGTTTCTATTATTCATTAATGATCTTCATTATGCTTCTAGTAAATTGTCCTTTATATTATTTGCTGATGACACAAATATGTTTTTGTCTGGTAAATCTGTTCAGCAACTGAATAGGAATTTGAAAACAGAATCGGAGAAGGTTTCATGCTGGTTTTATGCTAATAAATTAAAAGTCAACATGACTAAAACTAATTATATGGTGTTTAAAGGGAGAAATATCAATTTCGATGTTGATGAATTACATGTGCAATTAAATGATAAATATTTATCCAGAGTCTGTTCAACAAAATGTTTAGGAATATATGTAGATGAAGGCTTAAACTGGAAGACACATGTTAACCACATTGCCTCCAAGATTTCAAGTGCAATAGGTATTCTTTATGTTGTGCATAAATTATTTCCTTTGCCAATCTTATGTAACCTTTATAATACATTGTTGCTTAATGTCGTATGCAAATATTGTTTGGGGCAACTGCTCAGTAACCCTTCTGAATAGACTTTAAGTTCTTCAAAAGAAAGCCATACACTTGATAACCAAATCTTCCTACCGAGCACATACTGCACCCCTATTTAAACGGATGAATATTTTAAATGTTAATTCTATATATATTATGCAGCTTGGTCAATTAATGTTCCAGCACAAACATAACAACTTGCCACCTGTCTTTGATGACCCTTTTATACTGAACTCTTCTATTCATTCATATGCTACAAGAAATGCAAATAGTTTCCATATACCCATAGCTAAGACTTCTTTTTTACAAAAACGGATACCCTTCAATGGACCTATGTTATGGAGTCATCTTCCACCTGACATCAAACATTGTTCTTCATTGTATTCATTTAAGGCTAAATTAAGATTATTAATAAGTAACCCATTCTTTACAACATTCACATATAGGTAGATGCACTCCCCCCCCCCCCCCCCTTGTCTTTGATATTTTTCTCCCTCTTCTTTCTTGTTATTGGTACCACCTCATCATTTTACCTTATATTTACTCTTAAGTTTTAATTGTATAATTTTTTTTCTTTCATTATTGGGGGTAGTCCTCGACAAATCATTTTTGATTTTTGACTACCCCTTCCACATTTGCTGATTTTTTCTTTTTAAAACATACATTGCTTCAACTGGAGTCGTTTTATATATAATGTACATGTTTTATTATTGTATTGTACATATGTATTTTATTTTATGTAGCTCCCTATGTTTTGCATTTGTGGAGAAATAAATTGAACTTCAACTTGAACTTGAACTACTCTTCTTCATGAGTACATTAGAAGTAGAACTAATTATGGTTGGAGTTTTTAATATAAATTGAAAGGCAAATTTTGGATGATTTGCACTTCTTATCCATTCACTGTGATACTACTGGGAGGTTGTTAATGTATCTTCTTTTTGGTAACGATGAATGTTCATGTATTTATAAAAATAAAAAAAATTGTGAGACAAGTTCGTTCGTTCGTGAGACAAGTAACTTACAGTACTCCTTTCATTGTTCATCTTGATATCAACATTATTCCCTGATACATAACCACTGCACATGTATGAATCTATTTTAAATTTCAAGAAAAAAAAAGAAAAAAAAATCTTTGTTCATATAATATCAACTCCAGTAAATAAAAATGCATAATAAAGAAAACTTGGGTGTTTTGAGTCTTCACTCTTCAATGATAATTACAGGTAGGAATGAATGTCCCAATCCTCCCCCCCCCCCCCAAAAAAAAGGAGTCCAAATGAGTTACCTGTCATTCTGACTGGGCCCTTGAATGATGATCTCTTCCGTTTCTTACATGTAGTCATAACCGTTGGTGTTATAGGACGTAAATCCGAATCCATCTCTCCTGCATCCACATCAACATCGAGGGCGCTTGTGGAGCTCAAGTTGTTCTTTTTGCCAAGCATGATGCTGTGAGGAGAAAGAAGGCCTGGATACATTGTCTGAACCAAAACCATAATTATCAAATCACTCTGTCTATTTAATGACTCTGTAATGCAATGTCCACTGAGACTTGCTCAGCCAGGTCATCCTATTAGTATTACCCATTTAGACCCTAACCCTAATTTCCTAAAGACCAGGGGGGGGGGCATTATGGCCCCCTCCACGATTTTTCTGATTGTTCAGGAACGCATAGATGATGGATGGCGCCCCGCCGCTCGCTGACTTTCTCTCTCTCTCTCTCTTATTCTTAGTCTTAACGACTTAACTCTTCCTCTTCTTGTAATTTATTGCTTTCTTCCTTTTCAGTGATTTCAACGCCTCCTTCTTGAACTTTGAAGTTAGATCTAATTCTTCTCCACCATCCACGATCACGAATCAATTGATCATGATGTTTAATATTTATCACAATCCGCCATGTTATTTTGTTAATTCAATAATTGTGTAACTTTGTAATGTCGGCAGCATGCATGCCATGGTACAGTGTATAACAAAGCTTAGCTTAGTATAATTGGGGCGAGGCCGAGCTACGAGGACAGTAGTAATCCATCGGACTCTGCTGGCTGCATGCCGCCGGGAGTCTCGGCGTATGGAAGTAGGAGACCGTCAAAAACATGGATATACGTCGTGTCGTAATTCGAATTGCCACACTACCTAAATAATTACGTCGTGTAGTAGATCTAGACTCTAATTTGAATTGCCACACTACCTAAATAATTACGTCGTGTCGTAATTCGAATTGCTACACGACGTAATTCCGAATTACTGCCCAACGATTTAACGTCATGACGTTAAATGAATTAACTACACGACGTTAAATAATTAAGGTCGTGTAGCAATTCAAATTACTACACGACCTAAATAATTACGTAGTGTCGTAATTCGAATTAACACACGACCTAAATAATTACGTCGTGTTGTAATTAATTACTGCTCAACGATTTAACGTCGTGTAGTTAAATCATTTAACGTCGTGTAGTTAATTAATTTAACGTCGTGTAGTTAAATCAACCAATGAGGTCTTTCGTAATATATGCGATGCGAAGATCATATTTGCGCGCCAAAAATATGTATACGATGCGCGTTCGTGCGCGCTATAGTAGTGGCCGGTCTTCGCATCGCATATATTACGAACGGTCTCATTGGTTGATATAACTACACGACGTTAAATGAATTAACTACACGACGTTAAATGATTTAACTACACGACGTTAAATCGTTGAGCAGTAATTAATTACAACACGACGTAATTATTTAGGTAGTGTAGCAATTCGAATTACTACACGACGTAATTATTTAGGTCGTGTAGTAATTTGAATTGCTACACGACCTTAATTATTTAACGTCGTGTAGTTAATTCATTTATGACGTTAAATCGTTGGGCAGTAATTCGGAATTGCGTCGTGTAGCAATTCGAATTACGACACGACGTAATTATTTAGGTAGTGTGGCAATTCAAATTACTACACGACGTAATTATTTAGGTAGTGTGGCAATTCGAATTACGACACGACGTATATCCATGTTTTTGACGGTCTCCTGCTTCCATATCGGCGAACAAGCTACGCGCTACGCGATGCCAATAACGTTTGAGCTGACGTCTTTGCTTCTCGAGACTCGACGCGCGACGTAGGAAAAAGTAGGAAAAAAAACCTGCGTTTCACACGTCTTCACACATCAAAAACTCCACAAAATTACAATTATTATATATTTATTGTTATCTGCACTTACCCTTTCATCTGATTTTGCAAAATTTGCAGTGAAAAGGTCCCTACTCCAGTTAGACTTTGTCGGCAAACGAAAAACAATCTCAATTTACAAACCTACGAATTTCCCGCGTTTGGGGTCAACCGGAAATTCATTCAGCTCGCGGTCCATTTAAATTCAGCGTCTGAAAACAAATAAAATTTGGGGCTATGGTGTCTTCAAAGAAACAAACGAGAAATGGTAGTGTAATATAGGTGATATATAGAACAAAAATGAGATCAAAGCTATAGAACTGCAATGTAATAGAAAAATGTGTCATATCATAGCAGAATAAATATCCAATATCCTTTTGAGATTATACTAGGCCTATTTCGGAAGACACAATTCTATGCCATTTAGCAAAGTTATTTTTAAACATGCTCACGCTATTCTTAAATTAAATTCTTAATGTACAAATTGAGAATATAGATAAACACATTCTAACTAATTTAATTTCAACAGCTTTTGGACAGGGTTTACTGTTTCAAAATTTCGGTAAATCGCTCATTTCAATCATTTGACGCATATTGTTAAATTTATACATAAGTATGGCCATTTTTAAAGCTAAATGTTTGTTCTTTACTGTCATGCCACATGTCGAAAGTTTTTGTCTGATATCTTAGAAAAATTGATTTTGATTTCAGAGTTTAAACAAAATTTCTTGCAATAATGATTCGTAAATAATCCATGCCTATCGCCAAACTATATAAATGAGGATAAATTTACCTTGAACATCTTCAGGGTAACCACGTAACTATGAAAGACTCTGCAAGAAAAGTGTGGGGGGGGGGCACTTTCCAGGAGTAGCGCCTCCTGCCCCAGTGGCAGGAGGTCTGATGCAATTGAGATGAAGTACTTCTTCATCGCGCCTGCAGTTTTTTGTCTTCTAATAGTCTGGGTCGTTTACATCGATATTAGGTGTAACTATGTAGGCATATTGCTCCGATTGTCTCATTTTCGCTCGCGTGAACATTGCCAGCACAAACCACTGACCTCTACCTCCTACACGAATCATCGCACATTCCCATTCACTATACGTTACGTACTAAAAGGCTGTATTGTCTGACCATTCATGAATATTCATGTTTTTGCTAAACTCGGCAAAATGTTTGCTTTTACTAAATGGAAAAATTACGGTGGGGGGTTGGATGAAATGGACAAAACGAAATAGGCAGAAGTGATCTATGATAATTCATGCTTTTTATGTTTCGTGTGCTCGACCTATAATCTTCAAATCGCTTGGTAAACTGAGTCCAAAGTTAGACTTGTTTCACATGTGTATTATAGGCAATGACGAGCTTGCAACCTATTTTGAAAAATTACGGTGGGTGAACTTTCAAAAGTCAATGAGACATGAGATCTCCAATGAAAGAGCTAGTGATAACGTACGTCGGGGTGGATGTGCTTTTCGTTTAAACAAAAAATGAAAAAAAAAAAAACGTCCATAGGCTAACATGTTAGGCTGCTGAATCTGACCATGCTCTGACGATAGGGGGCGTTGTGAAATGAGACTAAACGGAGCCATATGGGAGAATCTGTATTTCTCCATGTTCTTATCTTGAATTCGCGATGCCAGGCTTCGCTTTCTAGTGCATGAATAAATCATCGTCTGTCATCAGGTGCGTAGGTAATTTGTACCCATTATTGAGAGGAGGGGTATAGGGGTGATCCAATTGAATAAGTATATTGAAAACTTTTACATAATGATGATTGTGTAACATGTATCCTCAACAGAAATTACATCCCCCCCCCCACCTCAAAGCTTTGTAATTTTTCAAGTATGTGAAAAATTTATTTGTTCCGATTTATGTGTCATGACAATAATTCAAGCTTACATCTAAAAGCATTTAATAAAGGCTCCAGTTCAACGAGTCAATCTTTTTCATTCTTGAGTTACGAAAAACACACAAAATGAAATTTACAAAGGGTATGAATATTTAGTTCTTGTCTGTACATTAAACCAAATCCACGTTGTTTACCAATCAGAGCCAATGCAAATTATGCAACTGAAAAGGAGATTTCGCGATGATCTAGCAAGCTTTTCCAAACTAAATTTGAATTTGCTTTGTCCTCTTTGATAGTAGTATTATTATTTTTTAAATGTTAAATTGTCAAATGCTATTTTTTGCACAGTCCCACTCTCCAGAGTGTCGAAACAGTTTTGCCGCCTTTAAGGTAAATGAGCAATTACTGGGCATGTGCACAGTCATGGTTTATGGTTTGCCACCAGAAATAGAACAAATATTGCGTGCGGAAAACGGGGCATACAAGGTGATTAAGCAGTTTAATAGGGAGAACAAACAATAATTGACACAAATTATAGCATACAATAAAAAGATTAGAATGTATTATGACAATATTTTACCCGCTGCGTGTGCAAAATCTGCAAAAACACGGAATGATCTTCCAGAACCAGTCGAAGGGTCTATAGAAAGGGCATAAGAAAGTCATGCGATGTCACTACGGTGAAAAGGTGAATAGGTGAATAGGTGATCGATCGAATCGACCACCCCCGCCTTTTGGCGGCCCCCAAAAGAAAACGGGGGAGAGCGACAGAAGAAAATAGCAGAAAAGAAAGAGAAAAGAATGTTCAAAATAAGTAGAGAGAAAAAGAAATGGGATTTTTTTTTCTCTCGTTAGTCTGAGTTAAGGGTCGGCAAAGTACTGGATGGGATCGAAACCCCACCCCACCGCAAGTTTTGCGTAATCCCTCAGGGGAGGCGAATAGTCCGCGGCACTCCCTTTTTATGCGTCCTAAATAAAGTGAGGGGGGACGACGAAAGAAAGAAAAAAAAGAGAAAATCAAATAAAGGGATAGACGAAAAGGAGAGTTAGTTAGAGAGAGAGAGAGAGAGAGAGAGAGCAAAAGAGAGAGAGAGAAAAAATAAAAAAAAGAGAAGAGCATGAATAAATATGTACATACATATTACATTGCCAATGAGTGGGCTCGACATGTCCCTACGAAGACTTTGGACGAAAGTAGAATAGTACAAAAATTCAGTAGGCCTAATAAGAATTTTGATGCCTAACGAAATGAAATGGGCTTTGTGGAGTCCAACGAGAAAATTCTAATTTCTATCGCTCGGACGGCCTTCTTGAAGATTTAAATATTAAAAAAAACTTATGAGCGCCCGGGGTTCCGCCCTGGACCCCAAACAGGGGCTCTATCCCTAAAGCACCACCTAAGGCGCCCCTGGACCCCATTCGTACAGACAGAAGTGATCTTCCAATACAACATTTTTGTTCTATATAATTGTCATTGAGAGAGAGAGAGAGAGAGAGAGCGTTCGTGTGTGCGTATGTGTTTTCGTGCGTGAGTGTGTGAGAGAGAATCGATTTCCAACGAAAAAACAAACAATTGGGGCCCTTTTAGGGGCAGTGCAAATTTCGAAGTATAGTCCTATATAAGAGTTTCTATTTTGAAAGCTATAAAATAATTGCTAAAACTCGAGAGCGTCCAGGGTCTCTGTCCCTAGGATCACCGGCAGGGCTCTAAGCAGGGCTCCCACTTAGCCGAGTTGGAGCCTCGAGTTGTGGCGAACTGGCTCGATCTTATGGCAAGCCGTTTTATCATTAAAACATATTTCTTGATATCAAAAAACATTTTTTACGTTGTAAAGCAATAGTAATTCTTAATATCAAGAATTGAATTCGAATTGAGTGACCGGTTTTACCAAACCCATTTTCCCCAATAGAATGTATCTTGATAATCAGACAGGCGATCGGTTCGTAAAAGTCATGGGGTTCCTGACTGACCTAAAGGTTTATAATTATCATTGCAGCATGATTTCGTTTTAGAATCTGAGACAAAGTTACCGGATCCCTTTAAGGTGGCTCTTGGACAAAGGGTCCTATGTAGTTAATTTGCAACGTCTTCTCGGTTTCCGTTACGTTCCAAGCGATTGCCGATACCCAAGTGATGACCTTTTCCTGGCGCTGATGAAATATTTCATAATCTTCCTGGCTGAGCCCCCTCAAAATATCACGCCACTGTAAATACTGCTTTTATTTGTTTAAACTTAAAATCTTGTTCACGTTTTAGGGTTAGTTTATAGGTCTTGTTTGAGATACTCATCGATCAAACGCATGTACGTGTCATAGTATCGCTGGTCTAGCACTGCTAGACAAGCGTTTTCAAACGGGTAGGATTGCCGCGGGATAAGTTTAGCCACATATAAAAAATATTTTAGAATAACGACGATTTCGTAGAACACCGAATATTATCAACCTCGCTGAGAAATTGAAAAATCTCTTCCTCGCTCGCTACACTCCCTGGCATAATTTGGAAACAGGACGATTTCAGGCGGCGAAGTGTTGCAATGCCTCCATATTCGGGCAACGAGCTGATCGACAGCGAGGTCCCTGAATATATTATATATCTTTTATATCGAAAATACATTTTTACCGCTGGTTCGCCTCACTAGCTCGCAACATTTAGAAACGGAACAATATTATTCTTGGCAACGAGATGCCCGAATATCTTCATATTCATGTAATTTTGGCGGCAAGGTACCGGCATACATCCTTTTATATCATAATCTAGTATGTAAATTGGGATTGGAGTGACGCGAATTTCATTTTTTATACTTCTGAAATAGGTCCCGTGACTAGAGTATGAGCTATAAAATTGTAATGAACTGTATTTGTTTTTCCTCCCCCTTCTAGGTACCAATCAGAGTATAAGATAAGCATTCGTCAGCCAAGTGTCAATGGCCTTTTATGACGTGTGTCTCTCAACGGAACACGAACTATTTTTATATGATTATGTTGCGTCAAACTTCTCGGTCATTTTATGCCGCGAAAAAAGATAACAACGAAGTTGCTCTCTTCGTCATTTCGTTACCACGATGTTCTCCATCTCATATTGCTAATATTTTGTAAAGAAGTCCAAGATTAAGGGCAGCTGTTAGTTCTTCCATCATTAAGGACCAGCCGGGGTAAGAATGACACAAGTTCGTTATACTTCTTTAAAACAAATTACGATAAATTGGTCTTTGATTTTTCGTGCGATTTTGGGGGCATCGTAGGAGGCTACGGGCCACAATGTTTTTGTACAGAGTCTGCTCGGAGATTGTACGGCAATCATGCGATTTCAGTGCAGTAGCCAGGCAGTCATCGCAGCCTCTGCACGGAAATCGCAC